GATTCGTACCTTCTGGATGCTTGTAGAATACATGTTCTACTTCATATCAAATCTTCTTATTTTACTCAATGAGGGTTGGGACACTTGGATTAGAGTAATATGTCGTGTCACTGGATCTTCGATCCTCGCTCTCGTTTACTGACTAAGGTAAAGTCTTAATAGTTCAAGCATCTCAAATGAAACGTTAATGTGCATGCGTAACAGTCAGTCAGTAAGATGCAACGTGGAACTTCGTACGTAAGTACATCAGTTAATGTCGCTATACCACATCAGCACAGAGATATAATTGTCAATTCAATCCAATAGTAGAAGAGGTAGTAATGTGGTGTGAGCTACTTATAAGTAGTATATGACGTGAGTGTCAACGTAATGTCTGGTGACAGCAGAAGATGGGGGAAGATCAAGAAAGGAAGAGTTAGAAAACAATGGAATTTGTATGAAACGCATGAACAGTGACAATGGATTGTGATGTTTTGCAACAGGAACAGTCCAGTTCCATATGATGAACTGATATTTTGCAAATGAACGATTTACGATATGGTTTTCCGATTTTACTGAGTAACTCTGTAATTTTCGTTAAATACAATTCGGTTGCCCCACCTGCGTTCTCGTTCACTACAGTAAGTGTATTAGGAGTAATCGGAGAGGTTAGGATCAGAAAATATTATTCAAGAAGTATGATTCAGTGAGAAAAGTTTAGAAAGTCAAAAGTAGAGGTGTTGAAGAATTTAGAAGATTAGAATTTGAGAGAACACAGAGAATAAATGCAACGCCGCCATTGCGAACGATTTCGAGCCATGTCATTCTAGGTCTCTAACCATCGATTATTATCATCTCGCGGACCCCAACCAGGTAGTCGACAATTACCGACATGCGTAACAGGCTTACACATAGAGGATTTATGATCTTTCCATCTTGAAAGTCAAAATTCTTAAAAATCCACAAAAGCTTACACTTTCTGATAACCATAAATCTAGTCTAACAGTTATTATATTTTTATATATTAAAGATTTTCATTGAAATCGCGTATCGATCATTGTTAGACTGTCAATAGAAACTTGGAAGCACTGAATGACCGTTTACCCACCCCTCCCCTCACTAGGCCAAAGTAAATGTAAACATGAAGTTCTAAGTCAACAAGAAGAACAATCACAACCTCAAATGAACCAATCAACAACACGCCTTCAATAAACTTCAAGATTTTTCTACTCAAATGTAAAACCAAACAGTACAATGTACACCTCCTAGTGTAGTGAATGAGAACACAGGTGGAGCAACCGAATTGTATTTAACGAAAATTACAGAGTTACACAGAAATATTGGAAAACCATATCGTAAATTGTTCATTTGCAAATTATCAGTTCATCATATGGAACTGGACTGTTCCTGTTGCAAAACATCAATCCAATGTCATTATTCATGCGTTTCATACAAATTCGATTGTTTTCTAACTCTTCCTTTCTTGATCTTCCCCCATCTTCTGCTGTCACCAGACATTACGTTGACACTCACGTCATATACTACTTATAAGTAGCTCGCACCACACTAGTAGACATTAAAAATTTGTAAAAGAGTTCACCTGAATAATTATTCAGTTAATTTCTTTACAGATTGAAATCATCAGTCAATCATTGTTAGACAACCAAATTAGAAACCTGAAAGCTTACTGACTGACTGTAATAATCTCAGCAACTCTAATTGAAAATATCGTACCATGTGCTCAATAGTGACTACTAGCATCGTGAGGGAATTCTCGGAGTTCTAGATGAGAAGACATGACCAATGGTGTTCAACTCTTATCGAGTGTAGGCAGTAACAACTACTGAAGAGAAATGTGTGAGGTCGCGCAAAATCTGTAGATTGATCAGAGTTAGACATTAATACAGTCAGATGCTAACCAGCTCAGTGTTCTAGAGGCTAGGAGTTCGCGCTTAAGGCCTAAGGTCGCTAGTTTGAATCCTGAGGGGTTCAGGAATCATGGATGTGCATTGTCACTGATGAGTCCCATGCCTCTAATTCTTTCACTGATTGAAGTTACACAGAATCTCTCTTTACGTCTGTTACAGTTTAAATTAATAACTAACATAAACATACATATCAGTGAATATAATGTAAGTCAGTGATAAAACAACAAGCCAATTTAACTGTTCTCTGTGGTCAAGCTGTAGTGAAAGAGAACACAGGTGGGGCAACCGAATTGTATTTAACGAAAATTACAGAGTTACACAGTAAAATAATAGGAAAACCATATCGTAAATCGCTAATTTGCAAAATATCAGTTCATCATATCGAACTGGACTGTTCCTGTTGCAAAACATCAACAATCCATTGTCACTATTCATGCGTTTCATACGAATTCCATTGTGTTCCCACTCTTCTTACTTTCTTGATCTTCCCCTATCGTCTGCTGCTAGACATTACGTCGACATTCACGTCGTATACTACTTATAAGTAGCTCGCACCACACTCGTCCCCCCCGCTTTAATAAGCTGTTGTCGTAGTCTTTCTGATCGCCGTACCGCTGTCTTCTTTGGTGCTTTTCGTGAATCATACACTGGATAATCTTGAAACCATCTCTGCAGTTGACTATCATTTACGCGCTTCTGCTTGTCTTCTCTCCGGATCGTGTACACCGCGCCACGTCTCTCCGTGATAACGTACGGTCCGTCCCATTTTGGGATCAGCTTTCCCCACCCTGATCCCTCTGCTATGTTAATTTTTTGATCTCTACACTTTACTGGGTCCCCCACTGCAAAAGGTTTCCACGTTCTCCTCTGTTGTTCCGCCTTCTTTATGTCTGATATTTGTTTCTTTCCCACGTTCCTGATTGCCTCCCTCCTCTATTTTCTTAACCTTGCTGTTGTCCATTTCTGTTGTTGTGGCCAGGCCTTATTGTGCAATGGAAGTCGCGGTTGTCTGCCATACATAAGCGAGAAGGGTGATTTCTTGGCTTTTCCTTGTATGGAGGAACGATGCGCCAGCAAAACCAATGGTAACTCTTTCTCCCAATCTCCTCCTTTAGATGCTAACCATTCCTTTAACGTCCGGTTGTTTCTCTCTGTAAGCCCGTTTGTCTGAGGATGATACGGTGCAGTTTGTATCCTCTTGATGCCAAACTGTTTTAGACGGTCTTTAAACTCGTCACTTTCAAAACAGGGACCTTGGTCCGTTAATATCATTTTCGGTATTCCGTGGCACGCTACAATATGCCGGATCACCACTTCGGTCACTGTTCGTGCCCGCTGGTCTGCAATGGGTACGGCATCTATCCAGCGTGTAGCATGCTCCATCATCACTAGCAGGTACCGGTTACCGGTCGCCGTCTTCTTGGACAATTTCCAATGTCCTGTTTCTCCACAAGCGTAACATTTATCGTTCCTTTCATGATTTCCTCGTAATGCTGCTATCTCACTCTCTAACTTCTCAATCTTCTTCTCGAAAGTATTTGTCTCCTGGTTTTCGCACCCGACCGGAGCTACTGTTCGTGTCATCAGCTGACGAGTCATCTTTACCAGTTCACCGATGTCCATAGGTTGTGCTGCATTTAATAATCTCCGCTGCTGGGACACGGCGGCAGGCACACTCTCAATAAATTGCGACGCCAACAATTGTGCCTCCGACTCCTCATGGATATTCGGCAACGCACGGCGCAGCAACCTTGTGAGCTCCACAGCAAGCACCAGTGGGTCACCATCAGCAGACAGCCTCGTCAACCGGAACTTCTGCAACGCCTCCTCCCTATCCGCCGCGCTGTCGAACTCGACCATCAGCCGCTCAATGACCGTCTCGCATGGCGTCTTCCCGCCAGCACCGTCCAGGCTGTCATATACGGCCTTCGCCCTTACTCTCAGCAGCGTCCCCAGCACCACCAACTTCGACTTCGGTTCCTTCACCCCCAACAGCTCCGCTACCGCCTCAAACTCCTTCAGGAAGCTACTCACATATCCATCCTCAAACTCGTTCGGCCATGGAATCTTCATCCTTTGCGTAAGCAGCGACACCAAATGTAGTGAAAGGGAACACAGGCGAGGCCACCGAATTGTATTTAACGAAAATTACAGGGTTAATCAGTAAAATCGGAATACCATATCGTAAATCGTTCATTTGCAAACTATCAGTTCATCATATGGAACTGGACTGTTCCTGTTGCAAAACATCAACAATCCATTGTCACTATTCATGCGTTTCATACAAATTCCATTGTGTTCCCCCCACTCTTCATACTCACTTGATCTTCCCCCATCTTCTGCTGTCACCAGACATTACATTGACACTAACGTCAAATACTACTTATAAGTAGCTCACCACACCACACTAGTACTTTCAAAAATAAAAGTACATTTTGTGGTGATAACTAACAGAAAAAAACAAACGGAAATAGGCTCTTCACTGTCAACTGATGTCAATTTTTTTTACTCTGGACATCACATGTTAAATCGATCAATTTCGATTCACGACTAATTTTTATCTGTCTACATGTATACGTGTATCATATATTAAATTAACCTGGAGAAAATTTCGATTTAATGATTGAAAATCAATTGTAAGTGATTGATTAATTAATAATAAATAAATATATTATTATTATTATTATTATTATTATTATTATTATTATCATTGTAACCAAATGCCTACTTGTAATATTATTAATAATTCATCAATTGATCGATCAATATTGTTTGATAGATTGGTGAATTTGAATTTTTTTTTTGTTTGCTAACTTGATAAAAATGAATATGTGCATATACACACATATATAAATATATATGTATGTGTATATTGTGTTCATTGTGACAGTTTAAAAAAAAACGATTCACTTCAGTGTAGATTGTGTATTCGATTTGTTTTATTTTTCCCAAACACACACACACTCTCTCTCTCTCTATACGTCACATTGTTTATGATTCAATGTTGAAGTGAATTTGAAATTGAAATTAGAACAAACACAAACAAACGCACAACCAGCAAGTATATATATATTCACAAACATGTTTTCCAAAATGAATACTACCACTACTCCGACTATTACTACTACTACTACTACTACTACTCCGACTACTACTACTACTACTACTACTACTACTACTACTACACTGACTACTACTCTGACTACAGACAAAAAGAATACACGTGATCACTTAATGAGTACACTACGTTACAATGTAAGTGATTTGAATTGTTGAAAAAAAAAATAATAACCTGTGTTTTATTTTTTTAGCTTTATTTTATAGGGAATATTTTAAATAAAATGTTACCAATGGAATTATACTACTCATATAAACTACTCACTGATTTAATTGATTATACTATTGGATTATTAATAGAAAAATTGATTTTCAATTTAAATGAAAAACATAGAAATGTTGAATTGAATAAACATATTGTGGATTTATTGAAATGGACACCTTTAACTCATGATATGCTTTATGAGGTAAGTTAATAATACATTTGTATTTGTTCATATATATGAAAGGAAATAAGTAAGTGAGTAAGTAAGTAGGTAAGTAAGTAAGTAAGTAAGTAAGTAAGTGCATAAGTAGGTAAGTAAAAGAGTAAGTAAGTAAGTAGGTAAGTAAGTAAGTAAGTAAGTAAGTAAGCAAGTAAGTAAGTAAGCAAGTAAGTGCATAAGTAAGTTAATGCATAAATAAGTAAGTAAATAAGTGCATAAGTAAGTAAGTAATTGAGTAAGTGCATAAGTAGGTAAGTGCATGAGTAAGTAAGTAGATAAGTAGGAAAGTCAGTAAGTAAGTAAGTGAGTAAGTGCATAATAAAGTAAGTGAATAAGTAAGTAAGTAAGTAGATGCATAAGTAAGTAAGTAAGTAAGTAAGTAATTGCATAAGTAGGTGCATAAGTAAGTAAAACGGTAAGTTAGTAAGTAAGTAGGTAATTAAGTGCATAAGTAAGTTCATAAGTAGGTGAGTAAAAGAGTAAGTAAGTAAAAAAGTAAGTAGTTAAGTAAATAAGTAAGGAAGTAAGTAAGTGCATAAGTAAGTGCATAAGTAAGTAAGTAAGTAAGTGCATAAGTAAGTATGTAAGTAAGTGCAAAAGTAAGTATGTGCATAAGTAAGTAAGTGCATAAGTAAGTAAGTAAGTAAGTGCATACGTAAGTGCATAAGTTAGTAAGTAATAAGGTAAGTAAATAAGTAAGTAAGTAAGTGCATAAGAAAGTAAGTGCATAAGTAAGTGCATAAGTACGTGAATAAGTGCATAAGTAAGTAAGTACGTGAGTATGTATGTAATTAAATTCATAAGTAAGTAAGTAAGTAAGTGCCTGAGGAAGTAAGTAAGTAATTGCATAAGTAAGTAAGTAAGTAACTGCATAAGCGAGTGCATAAGTAAGTAGGTAAGTGAGTAAGTAAGTATGTAAATAAGGAGGTAAGTAAGTAAGTAAGTAAGTGCATACGATAGTAAGTGCATAAGTAAATAAGTAAGTAAGTGCATATTTAAGTAAGTGTATGAGTAAGTATGTAAGTAAGTGCATAAGTAAGTAAGTAAATGCATATATAAATATATATTTGGTGCATAAGCAGGTAAGTAATTAAGTGCATATGTAAGTGTATAAGTAAGTAAGTAAGTGAGTAAGTAAGTAAGTAAGTAAGTAAGTAGTTAAGTAGGTAAGTAAGTGAGTAAGTAAGTTAGTAAGTAAGTAAGTAAGTCAGTAGGTGCATAAAAAAGTAGGTGCATAAGTAAGTAAATAAGTGAGTAAGTTTGTAATTAAGTAACTAAGTAAGTGCATAAGTAAGTAAGTAAGTGCATAAGTTAGTGAATAAGTTAGTAAGTAAGTAAGTAAGCAAGTGCATAAGTAAGTAAGTAAGTAAGTAGGTAAGTAAGTAAGTAAGAAGGTATGTTTGTGCATAAGTAAGTAAGTGCATAAGTAAGTAAGTAAGTGCATAAGTAAGTCAGTGAGTAAGTAAATGAGTAAGTAAGTAACTAAGTAAGTAGTTAAGTAAGTAATTAAGTACGTAAGTAAGTAAGTAAGTAGTTAGGTTAGTAAGTAAGTAAGTAACTAAGTAGTTAAGTAAGTAAGTAAGTAATTAACTAGGTGCTGAAGTAAGTAAATGCATTAGTTAGTAAGTAAGTATTTGAATAAGTAAGTAAGTAATTGCATAAGTGGGTGCATAAGTAAGTATTGAAGTAGGTAATTAAGTAAGTTAGTACGTAAGTATGTAGGTGAGTAAGTAAGTAAGTAGGTAAGCTAGTAAGTAAGTAAGTAAGTAAGTGCAGTATGAAGTAAGTAAGTGAGTAAGTAACTAGGTAAGTAAGTAGGTATGTAAGTAAATAAGTGCATAAGTGAGTGCATAAGTAAAATGTTAAGTATGTGCATACTTTTGTGCATAAGTATGTTAGTAAGTAGGTAAGTGCATATGTAAGTAGGTGCATTAGTTAGTCAGTATGTGCATAAGTAAGTGATTAAGTAAGTGCATAAGTAATTATGTAAGTAGGTAAGTATGTAAGTAGGTGAGTAAGTAGGTGCATAAGGATGTAAGTAATTTAGTGCATAATTAAGTTAGTGCATAGTTAAGTAAGTAATCAAGTGAATAAATAAGTCCATAATTAAGTGAGGAAGTGAGTAAGTAAGTAAGTAAGTAAGTAAGTAAGTAAGTAAGTAAGTAAGTAAGTAAGTAAGTAAGTAAGTAAGTAAGTAAGTAAGTAAGTAAGTAAGTAAGTAAGTAAGTAAGTAAGTAAGTAAGTAAGTAAGTAAGTAAGTAAGTAAGTGAGTAAGTAAGTGCATAAGTAAGTAAGTAAGTAAGTAAGTAAGTAAGTAAGTAAGTAAGTGCATAAGTAAGTAAGTAAGTAAGTAAGTAAGTAAGTAAGTAAGTAAGTAAGTAAGTAAGTAAGTAAGTAAGTAAGTAAGTAAGTAAGTAAGTAAGTAAGTAAGTAAGTAAGTAAGTAAGTAAGTAAGTAAGTAAGTAAGTAAGTAAGTAAGTAAGTAAGTAAGTAAGTAAGTAAGTAAGTAAGTGAGTAAGTAAGTGCATAAGTAAGTAAGTAAGTAAGTAAGTAAGTAAGTAAGTAAGTAAGTAAGTAAGTAAGTAAGTAAGTAAGTAAGTAAGTAAGTAAGTAAGTAAGTAAGTAAGTAAGTAAGTAAGTAAGTAAGTAAGTAAGTAAGTAAGTAAGTAAGTAAGTAAGTAAGTAAGTAAGTAAGTAAGTAAGTAAGTAAGTAAGTAAGTAAGTAAGTAAGTAAGTAAGTAAGTAAGTAAGTAAGTAAGTAAGTAAGTAAGTAAGTAAGTAAGTAAGTAAGTAAGTAAGTAAGTGAGTAAGTAAGTGCATAAGTAAGTAAGTAAGTAAGTAAGTAAGTAAGTAAGTAAGTAAGTGCATAAGTAAGTAAGTAAGTAAGTAAGTAAGTAAGTAAGTAAGTAAGTAAGTAAGTAAGTAAGTAAGTAAGTAAGTAAGTAAGTAAGTAAGTAAGTAAGTAAGTAAGTAAGTAAGTAAGTAAGTAAGTAAGTAAGTAAGTAAGTAAGTAAGTAAGTAAGTAAGTAAGTAAGTAAGTAAGTAAGTGAGTAAGTAAGTGCATAAGTAAGTAAGTAAGTAAGTAAGTAAGTAAGTAAGTAAGTAAGTAAGTAAGTAAGTAAGTAAGTAAGTAAGTAAGTAAGTAAGTAAGTAAGTAAGTAAGTAAGTAAGTAAGTAAGTAAGTAAGTAAGTAAGTAAGTAAGTAAGTAAGTAAGTAAGTAAGTAAGTAAGTAAGTAAGTAAGTAAGTAAGTAAGTAAGTAAGTAAGTAAGTAAGTAAGTAAGTAAGTAAGTAAGTAAGTAAGTAAGTAAGTAAGTAAGTAAGTAAGTAAGTAAGTAAGTAAGTAAGTAAGTAAGTAAGTAAGTAAGTAAGTAAGTAAGTAAGTAAGTAAGTAAGTAAGTAAGTAAGTGCATAAGTAAGTAAGTAAGTAAGTAAGTAAGTAAGTAAGTAAGTGCATAAGTAAGTAAGTAAGTAAGTAAGTAAGTAAGTAAGTAAGTAAGTAAGTAAGTAAGTAAGTGCATAAGTGCATAAGTAAGTAAGTAAGTAATTAAGTAGATAATTGACTCAGTAAATATATTAGTTAGTTAGTTAGTTAACTAGTTAGCTAGTTAGTTCGTTCGTAACTAAGTAAGTAAGTAAGTAAGTAAGTAAGTAAGTAAGTGAATAACTCAAAATTTTCATTCTTAACTTCGGATATACTATCCTGATACAAGTTTGAATTTCAAAAGTGATGTACTCTGAAAGTTGGATACACTTATTTATGATAAACCAGTCTTGATTTTTTCCCCTGGTAAAAATACGTATTATCTGTACTTTAATCGTAGATAAAAAGAGGTTAGATTTGTTTTAAATCGATACGAATTGCTTAAGCTATCTGAAGTAGAGACATAAACCGACTTTCAGTCTTAAACAGAATGTGAATACTGAATAAGATGGGAATGGCATCACACTACACTGTTGATCTGAATCCATTTCGAATAATTTTGATAAATCCTAGAATGAGTACTCACTGGGAGAACCTCATGATCTTGTATGTACCATACATGTTGACATGTATTTGATTTCGTATACTTTTTTTTTGGTAATTTTTAGTCGAATGACAAGAATTTGAACAATACTACTAATACTACTACTAAAACAACTACTACTGATAATAATAATCATTTTTACAACATTTATCATCCTCAACCAACTCTACTAATGCAAAATCTGTTACATCAGTCAAATTATTGTCTAGGCAAACAGACACCAATTTATGAGAATGATGTTCCAATCGATTTAACTAGACATTCTTTATCATCATATTCAAATGGTTTTGATCAATTGGGTAAAACAAATATTACCAAGTAAGTGTTTATAAACAAAATGTAAGACATAACTTGTACTTGTACTCCTTTACTTATCTGGACAGCGCATCATTGACGACCAAGCTGGATCCAACCAAATCACTCTTGATGAAGAAGATGCTTTGGAGGATGTTAACAACTTTACCCCTATCTGGGCAGCATCATCGACAATCAAGGTGGATCCGATGCAAATGTGAGGGAGCGGATTGGCAAAACAAGGGCTGTATTTTTACCGTTGAAAAATATCTGGAATTCCAAACAACTTTCAACCAAAACCAAAATCAGGATTTTCAATACAAATGTCAAGACATTTCTACTCTATGTGGAGCGGAAACTTGGAGAACTACGAAAGGCATCATCCAGAGTATACAAGTGTTTATTAACAGTTGTCTACGCAAAATACTTCGGATTGGTTGGCCAGACACCATTAGAAACAACGTACTGTGGGAGAGAACAAACCAGATTTCAGTGGAAGAGGAAATCAGGAAGAAGAAGCGGTGGAGTTGGTGGATAGGACACACAATCGGATTAGAGTAGTATATCTTGTGGCCGGATCCTCGCTCTCGTTTTTTGACCATAGTAATCTCGTACTAGTTTAAGCCTAACAAATGACATGTTTACGTACATACGTAACATCACCAACCACATAAATATAAATATTCTATAAATGGAAGAGAACTGTGTGATAGTGTGTCATTAACTACCATCTTTGGTTAATATTTGCTATGTTAAACACTTATTCCAAGGTTCTTGATGTTGAGTAACAGTCTGTTTTTTGACATTTTCTCTTTTATTTAATAATACTATCGGCCTCCTCTTTGAATTGTCTCATGAATTGGTGTTTAGAGAGTGTAATGAGCCAGTTTATTTTGGACAATATATGCATTCTGTGCGGATCATAATGAAGTCATATACAGTATTTGTTGGTGACTTACTGTGAATATGCACACCAACAGATCAGCGAGGTTGTGAATCTTCATTGGTTACGATGACTGACACAAAATTCACATGCCTCCATATTCTGCAACTATTAATGTTATCACTAAAACTTAATGTTCTGATATGATCGGAAAATTGTTCTTAAATGTCATCTCAGACATTTAAAAGAAAAAAAAAAGATTGTTGGAATATAATAATTGATAGTTGATTACAATTCACTACAATAAAGGTAATTTCCGAAAATCGTTAGTTTTAAAGTTAAATCTTCGACATTGATTGATAACGGTATTGTTGATATATAACGAATTATTATATGTTAAAACAAACTGACTAGAATTCAAATTGTGATTTTTAAATTTTAACCAAAAGTTATTCAATAGTCAGTTATAATTTTTATAATTTTGATTATTTCAGCCATTATGAGAAGTGCAGTGATCCGCAGAAAAGAAATGAATATGAATGTGTCGAGAACGATGAGGCTGTAAGTCGTTTTCAAGTCAGTTAGTCATATGAAAACTATTCTCATGCAAACAGTAAATTATTGTAATCATGTAACTAATGGTCAGTCTAATTAATTGATATATTAATGTTTTATAGAATCACCTCATAAACAGTAATTTGAATATACGATATATTCAATTAGAGTTATGGAGGTTAATGTTTTCACACATTTGAAATCATCAACCAATCATTGTTAGACCAGCACTTTAGAAACATGGAAGCACTGAAAAACCGCCGTTTCATCCTATTATGGGACTCACCAGTGGCAGTGCACATCCACGACTCCTGCACCTTGCAGGATTCGAACCCGGGACCTTCAGTGTTACTCACGAATGACTAGCCTTTGGACCCCTGGGCTGGCATACAACTGTGTTAATGTCTAACTCTGATTGCTCTACTGATTCTGCACGACCTCACCTTTTTGAAGAAGAAGTTAAAAGTAAGTAAGCATACTTCGTAGACTAAGCGTGTTTACACATAGATCTTGCTTGTGCTCACATAAAATTTCAGTAATAAAAGATAAGTGAGACATAGTTGACATGATACTTAATTGGCGGAATGCAAATTATACACCTGATTAAGATTTCATATTAGAATTCATTATCTTGGTCGGTAAGGCTATCAAGTATAGATAGTTACTATGATTTGTTCACACTGATCATTCATCGTACTGTAACCATTATCATGCTTGCGTAATCACGCTAGAGCTGACTGATTTCTCAAGGACCAAGTTCCAATACTACAAGCACCAGTTTCAATTCTACAAGAAGTCAACAACTGCTTGAAGTAGTTGACGGTAACACAATAGGGGCATGAAATTAAGTGATCTAGGTTCGAATACCACATAAAGCTTTGGTTCCCCACAAGATTAAAAGTACTTTTTCTACTGATGAGGATTTTCTGATAAAAATGACACCGGTTATTATTGAGGTGAAAAGCAAAAATACAACTCATCTCAATTACTTACTTACTTACTGGACCCTAATTAGTAATTAACCCTTACACTTTTTGACAGAAAGACGTACAGTGTAAATTTTGTGATTATTGTTTAGGAAGAAACTAACGAATCAGAAAAACAGATAATGAGTGAGTATTATTTGTTTGGAAAAAACAGTATCTTATCAGACCTAAATATGTTAGAATATCAAAGTTAGAAGTTTAAAGATTTTCTTATCTCATTACCAGATTCTGTGATTACAAAATACCTGAACATTTTGTATAGAAAACTAAGACGTTCAGAATAATGAATTCACGAATATATATATAACTGTTAATCGAGTCAGATTGATCAATAGACCTTCCAAAAAAAGACAACTATAACATCGATTGTTGAGTTTCAGTAAAATCACTGATCGATCATTGTTACACTAGCATTAGGAAACCTAGAAGTACTGGACATCCGCTCCGTCCCAATATGGTCAGCATTACTAGTCCAGGACCTTCGCCAACGGAAATCAAAACCAGGAACTTCAGTCTGGCAGGCAAAGAAAGGTTTAGCATATAAAAAATACTGAACCGGCTCCAGAAGTGTTAAGGTTTACTCTTATTCCACTCAAAGTATTATTACAAGACCTCATTCACTATCTTCGGAGAATGGTAATATTGCACATTCGACGAGGTTAAACTCCATTGGTCACGGTGTCTTCAGGAAGTTAGAGAGTTACAAGTGGGCACAGTGATCGATCGATTCATCATTTCAATGTAACAATTGATTATAGTGTAATGAACATCAAATTTAATAGAAATAAGGTCACAGTTCCATCTTATTTGATCGATTCCTTTTTGTTTACACAAAAATCAAATTAGGTCATGAATACAACTTACACTGAGTATAATGAGCCGAGAGACAAATTTAATCCATTTACGCATACTACTGATATAGAGTTTGTGAGTAGGCAAAAACAATTATCAACATTTTGTGGAAATTCACAATCAACCAATAAAGAATTATGTCAAACTTACGAGAATTATCACGATAAAAAATATTCAACTACATTATTACATTCAAAAGTATCTAATCATAATAATGACAATTATAATGATGATAATCATAATCATCATAATATTAACACATGTCAATTTATGATAAAACAAATTCTTCAATCACAAGATCATCATCATCATCATTCATCATTATCTATGATAAGAAATGATGATGAACAACTACCAGAAACAGCTATACAACATTCAACACCAACTAAACAATCTCCTCATCCTATCGATAAAAATTATAATGACGAATGGGATGAATCGGGGGCACCTTCTTTTTCTTTAAAAAAGATATCAACTACTGAACCATTTGAAAGTAGTATACATTTAACATTTACAAAAAATACAGCACCTGCATATCAGCCACCACAGCTACAGCAGCCACAGCAGCCACAGCAGCAGCAGCAAACTGATAATCATCATCATCATCATCATCATCATGTTCATATGTGTAGTAGTAAGAAGTCGGAACAAGTTAATAATAGTAACAATTCTGATAATGCAAAGAATACTACATCAAAATGTTATCATCATTGTATTGATTGTCATAAATGTCTGGAAGATAAACGACAACAAAATTGTTCAACATGTAATTTAAGTTTTTCTCAACCGGTAGATTTTGTATTACATATTCAAGAGGTAAGTATGATTCGCTTTTTTTTAGAGAGTAAAAAAATTGTTTATCAAGTAGTAGATAGAGTGTAAATGTTAGAAATGGATGGATAGGTAGTTACTGAAGTTTTAAGCAATACGAAATATGAAACAAACGAGATACTTACTTACTTACTTACTTACGCCTGTTATCACCCTGCAATAGAGGAGCATAGGCCGCACACCAGAAGCATTCACCAACTAACTCTGTCTGTCCTGGGCTTCCGTTTACAGTTCTGTTCAATGTTTGTTCATTCTTCTCATATCTTTCTCTATTTCTCGGCGTAATGTGTTCTTTGGTTTTACTCTTTTCCTTTTACCTTGAGGGTTCCATGTGAGGGCTTGTCTCGTGACGCAGTTAGGTGCTTTTCGTAGTGTGTGTCCTATCCACTTCCACCGCTTCTTTCTGATTTCCTCCTCCACTGGAATCTGGTTTGTTCTCTCCCACAGTACGTTGTTGCAGATAGTGTCTGGCCAACGGATCCGAAGTATTTTGCGTAGACATCTGTTCATAAATACTTGTATCTTCTGGATGATGCCTTTCGTAGTTCTCCAAGTTTTCGCTCCATACAGTAGAACTGTCTTGACAGTTGTATTGAAAATTGTGACTTTGGTGATGGAGTTGTTTTGCGTTCCAGATGTTCTTCGATTGTAGAAATGCAGCCCTTGTTTTGCCTATCCGCTCCCTCACATTTGCATCGGATCCACCATGATTGTCGATGCTGCTGGCCAGATATGTAAAGGTGTTAATGTCCTCCAAGGCATCTGCATCAAGAGTGATTTGGTTGTTGCATGTTGTGTTGTATCGGAGAATTTCGCTTTTTCGTTTATGTATGTTGAGACCTACTGCTGCAGAGGCTGCTGCTACACTGGTCGAAACAAACAAGATATTGCCTATAATTCAGTGTATAGTAGGTATGCCTTGCCGATGAGTGTCAGCTGATTCGTTGACCCTAGTCAAGGAAGGTCTCGTTTCAAATGCATTTAGTATACTTTGCAAATATTCAGTGCAGATATTAAGTACCATGAAGAGAAAAGCTTATGTATACAAACTGGTGGTACGTGTATACATCAGTTCAAACTGCCATAACTCATTAAAACAGAGATAGGTATTAACAACATTATTGATGGTAGGAAAGAATAGACACGTCAAATACTAACAATTATATATGTAGTACATATAAGTGAACAACAATAGAAGTCGGTTTACAGTTGATTGAAGTCGGTCGGTAGGAAACCTTACATCACTTATGTTTCATTCTATGGAGTACTCCGATTACTAATAGAGGAACTAATAGGCGGATACTGCTGATCCCTTATGATATGTTCGTCAATTGAATGATACAGTGACACGATAGGTTACTCTAATCCGAGCGTCCCAAGGTCCCACTAAGTAGAGAAAGAAGTCTTGAAAAGACGTAGAAAGTGTATTCTAAAAGCACCCAGAAATTATGAGGTGCACAAGCACATAAGTCGAGTTTATTTATACATGATAGGAACGTCCTTGAAAGAGCCACGAAAATAGCATACTAAAATAATACATCAACTTATGACAGTCAAGAATTTTCCCAGTGGGAAATGTAATCTCAAGTTCAACTAATCAGCTGATGCTCAAAACGATAAAATCCAAGATTAGGATATTTATCAAGTGAGTTCTGGGGATTTAACGTTGAATTAACACCGAATTAATTGTCAGTTCACTATTCAGCTTGATAGACAAAATTCGATCAGTACTAAAGGATTACACATTTGAAATCATCAATCAATCATTGTTAGACCACCACCATTGGAAACCTGGAAGCACTGGACGGCCGTTTCGTCCTGGTATGAGACTCATCAGCAGTGCGCATCCACGAATCCTGCACCTCGTAGGATTCGAACCTGTGACCTTCAGTATTGTGCGCGAACGCCTAACCTCTGGACCAATGAGCCGGCACCCAACGGTGTTAATGTCTAACTCTGACTGATCTATGGATTTTGCGCGTGTGTAGTTACTGCCTACACCCGACAGGGTTGAACTCCATTGGTCACGTCACGTTTCCAATGGTGGTGGTCTAACAATTATTGATTGATGATTTCAAATGTGTAAAAGCGCAAACCTCTAAAACTCTGCCCTAAAGGATAACACAAACATAATATTAGCCAGTCATAAGTTAATGATCAGCCAACTGTGCCTTAAAAAGTATTTGTAAATTGCGATTATTAAAAAATTTTACTAAAGAGAAAAAGATATTTCTGTACTTTTATAACAGAACTAATATGGCGTTCATTGTTTATCTCATATTGATTTAAATAATTTCAGTTAAATGTGTCCAATCAAATTGAACTATGATGGAAGACAGACATATTTAGTTTTACACTTAACACAAAAATTGATAATTTTTTTTTAAGTAGCAAGATTGATTGCATTTTTTTTTTAACATTTTATCTTTTATGTCAGTCATATTATGATCATCACTAGTGTGTCAGGTAGTTGTGTGGTTGCACCACAGGATTGAGCCGAATTATTCAAATTGATATGTTAAAACGTCAGCAGTCTCTTTGATTCGCCTGGAAAACCAGTGTAAAATTACCCTTGCCAGTTGAGGGCTAGTAAAATAATGCTATGATTAGGCTATACTTGTTACATGGAACTCGAGCTGAGTAACCTTAATCGATCCAATGACTGAGACATGACACTTTAAAGCAAACTCAAGTGAAGCTTGAAACTTGAAAGAGGCAATTTATCGTAGAACAACTCTGTTGCACTACTCGTACTTCAGATTGACTAGACCCACCACTTTGAACCATAGTCGTGTCGCTTTGCAGATCAATGAATCGTTAATACTCATTGGTCATGTCACTAAGAGTGAGTTTAGGATCTTGATGCAGTTGACACAGTAGCCGTGTTCTTATGTCACTGAACCTATGGGATTGGAGGCTACAAATGCGGATTAGGGCTTTAAACTGGTCTACCGACAAAGACTTCAACCAGAAGCGTTCGCATTCACAGTTTACGATAATCACATACGTGAGAAAATCATCTTCAAATATTGATAACGAATGATAAACAATGACGAGTTGTCGCCGAAATGTTAGCTTAATATCTGGACTGTATCTGAGAATGAGCAGTCACGTGGGTTCAGAGGTAGGATCAAATTTTAAAGTACTTGTCCAGCTCACTTGCACCAAACTTTCGAAGTAGCTGCTGAACCTTTCAAGCATAATCTTTGATTAGCAAAATCAAATTTAGACAGATCTTCATTGCACCGGAACAACGTGTTAAAAGTAACGTAAGCATCCGGATCATAATGCCATCTCCTGAAGGTGCTGTGGTTGCATTAGATGTGCCGGGAAATGATTTGAGTGGCCGTGTATCATGTAATCTAACAGTGCCATGAACAAGTCGAATGCAGTCAGATTAGCATTTTTTTTTCTCACTATTCCGGTTTATTGTGATTGACTCCTTCATAACATAACTTCCGAGACTCGAAACTCACGGTGTTGTTTTTCCTGGCCAATGAACTAGGGCCAATCATTTCATGTAATCTATCGATCGATCAGGGTTTCTTGTGAGATAGGCACTGTTGAAACACGCAACTATTCTATTATGAGTTCTTCATAACAAATTTTCATAGTAGGTGTATGATGTAGTCGTCTAGCGCTATATATAATCAATGTTCACGAGCTAAAAATTTTAAACCATCTCTACAAATCATCCTCCTTATCCTATTATCATATATATATATTGATTTTTTCTATGAGGTTCATCTTGGATTAAAATTAACAAACGATGAGAATAGTTTCACGAAACCATCACGTGAATGTCAACAATCCAGTAAGCATCGTACTTGCAAATCGTCGAAATCATGTGGAAATGTCAGCAGTAATAACAACAGCAATAATAATAATCATAACAGTAGCGCTAATGATAGTAGCAGTAATCATATTGATCCTGTCTCCGGTGACAATGATGCTCATGGAGGAAATCATCCAGTAAAGAATAACAGAGATGCTACTAGTAATAATAATAATAATAATAATAATAAAAACAGCAACAATACTACCGCTACTAACACTACTAATACTACTAATAACCATAAGCCAACTACTTTATCAACAAAATTACCATTGAATTCAAGAAAGCGATCTCACAGATCAATCAGTGCCACGGAATAATGCGCGCAACTGATATGAGTCAGTCAGTCATTGAGTTCAATATTTAATAGTTTAAAAAAAATATTCAAATTTTTTCTATTCAGCTACCACTACTTATTTATACTACTTATATCTATCTAAAAAAGAGTTACTGTTGTTATTTGAAACAATGTGAGTTTAGCTGTTCAACTACTACTTATTTATACTACTTATATATACATAGATATCTACAACAGAGTTACAGTTCTTATTGAAAACAGTGCAAGTTTTCTATTCGACTACTACTTATATATACTACTTATACATATTTATCTATCTACAAGAGAGTTACTGTTCTTATTGGAAACAATGAGTTTTCTACTCCAGTACTACTTATTTATGCTACTTATATCTATCTAAAAAAGAGTTACTGTTGTTATTTGAAACAATGTGAGTTTTCTGTTCAACTACTACTACTACTACTTATCTATCTATACTACATATATATATATATCTACAAATGAGTTGCTGTTCTTATTGGAAACAATGAGTTTTCTACTCTACTACTACTTATTTATACTACTTATATGTATATATATATCTACAAATGAGTTGCTGTTCTTATTGAAAACAATGAGTTTTCTATATTCAACTACTACTTATTTATACTACTCATATCTATCTAAAAAAGAGCTACTGTTATTATTAGAAACAATTAGTGTTTTCTATTCAGGTACTACTTATTTATACTACTTATATGTATATATATATCTACAAATGAGTTGCTGTTCTTATTTGAAACAAATTATTTGTAAATGTTTGGGTTATTTAAAAATTGTTAATATAAATCTACGCTGAAATTTAACCATCTTTCCTTTATATTTTGGGGCAGAGTTTTGAAGGTTTGTGTTTTTACACATTTGAAATCAATCAATCAATCAATCAGTGTTAGACTGCCACCATTAGAAACCTGGAAGCACTGGATGGTCGTTTCATCCTGGTATGGGACTACTCATCAGTGGCAGTGCGGACCCACGACTCCTGCTCCTCGCAGGATTCGAACCCGGGGTCTTCGGCGTTGTAGGCGAACGCCTTACCATCGGACCATCCAACGTTGTTAATGTCTAACTCTGATTGATCTAGCGATTTTGCGCGACCTCACCCATTTGTCTTTGGTAGTTACTGCCAACACCCGACAGGGTTGAACTCCATTGGTCACATCTTCTCAACTAGAACTCCGAGAATTTCCTCACGAAGCTAGTCACTAGTGAGTACTGTTACGATATTTTGGGGCAGAGTTTTTACACATTTGAGGTCATCAATCAGTCATGCTTGGATATATATATATATATATATATATATATATATATATATATGTATATATGTATATATGTATATATGATATGTATATATATGCAAATTACTTCGATAATCAGATTAAAAAACGGTTTGAAACAATAACTAGGACGGTTGTAATTATATCAGGGAAATCCAGGATGAAGAATGGTTTTATTCTATGGGAGATTTGTTAGTAGATGTAGACTGTCGCCTAATTGATCAGAGTTAAGATTGTTTGCAAGGGCACAGAAGCTTCCATTCTTTGTTGTTATCTTTCAGGAGCAAGTTGATGTTGAATTCTTACAACTTTTAATGAGGTTGAAAAGGCTATAGGAAATCTGAGGCGAGCAAGAGCAGTAAGTCCTGAGATTTTATAGGACAGTAGTCGATTTATAGCAGTTAGATTGACCGAAATCGTGGCTAGAATCTAAAAAAACCGCACCTAATCCAATCTGACTGGTGTTAGCCACTGATTATCCAAGTCTATGAGAAACGATAAAAGTCCTCTTGTGACAATCAGTCACAGGTGAATCAGTCTACCTAATATAGTGTCTAAATAGTTAGCCTTGATTATACTTAGACGCCTAATTAGAGCCCGTGAAGAGCAGACTGGAGAAAACTAGGCTGGTTTCAGACCTGGACGTGGCTGTATAGCTCACATATTCACATTTCTTCAGGTTCCAGGACATAGGCGTACATTGAGACGTCCAACAAGAATTGTATTCCGGTACATTAGGGTGTCTATCTTTAGGTTGTTTGGCTGTATGTGATTTGAAATGACGATTTGATCTCTTTATGTTATTGTTTTACGGCGACTTGAAAGGATGTACGTACTTAGGAACGCACGAAGTTCTACTTTGTACCTGCCTGACAAATGAATGACACCCAGACTATAAATATGGCAGTAAAGGTTTAGTTGAATTTCAGTTTTTTCAATATTACTGTTGAGGACGTTAGATCCCCAGAACTCACTTGATAAAGGTTCGAATTTTGAATTTTATCTTTTCAAGCATGAGCTGATTAGTTGACCTTGAGATTACAATTCTCACCCGAAAAATTCGTGACTGTCATTGGTTGATGTATTATGTTAGTACGCTACATTTGTGGCTCTCCCAAGGACGTTTCTATCATGTATAAATAAACTCGGTTTGTGTGATTGTGAACTTCATATTTCCTGGGTGCTTGTAGAATACACTTTCTGCTTCTTGTCAAGACTTCATCCTCTATTTAGTAGGGCCTTGGGATGTTCAGATTAGAGTAGTCTATCGTGTCACTGGATCATTTGTCTTGGCTCTCGTTTACCGACTAAGGTGAACTCGTAATAGTAGTTTCAAGCATATCAGTTAACTTCAAGATAATTGAAATCCACACAAATGATGATTTATCAAGATGGTAGATATTCGAACTCAGAAGCTCAATGCACAGAGAGATAGATAAAAATTCAATGGAACCTTTTTTAGAAGCGAAACAATGTGTATTGCTGTATTCCAGCTCCGATGTCAATGTCCATAATCAATTGTTGATCTATCCAAGTGTTATGCTCGTCAATTGATATGCTTGAAAGCTATTATTACGAGTTCACCTTACTCGGTAAACGAGAGCGAAGACAAATGATCCAGTGACATGATAGGCTACACTAGTCCGAGCCCTGCCAGCTATAGCGAGAAGTCTAGATAAGGCGTAGAAAGTGTATTATTCTACAAGCACCCAGGAAATATGAGATTAAAAAGCACACAAACTGAGTTTATTTACACATTATAGAAACGCCCTTAGGAGAGCCACAAAAATAGCGAGACTTTTCCGTTAAGAGTAGAGGACTTCCGTAGGTTACTAGTCTTCGATCATCGTTGTCTCCGAAGCATTGCTCGTGTATCATGGGACAACCGTATAAGCAATGCTGTCGTTAGGAAACGAGTAGTAGGTAAGGATGGCAAATCAATAGATGAAGCATTGAAACTTCATCAGTTGAGGTGGTTGGTACATGTGTTACGGATGCCTAACCACCCACTGCCGCGACGAGCTATGTTTTGTTGTGTAGGAGTAGGTTGGAAGAAAGTTAGGGGCGGCCAGACCAATGCATGGCACAAATCCATGAAGTTACTGACAAGTGGACTGAATCATGTTGGTAGATGTAGGCTTCTTGGTTGGGGTCCGCGAGACGAAAGTCACCAATGGTTTGAGACCTTGAACGACATGGCTCAGAATCGTTTGCAATGGCTCCAGTGCATTTATGCTTTGTGTTCTCTCAAATCCTAATCTTCTGGATTCTTCAACACCTCTAGTTTTGACTTTGTAAACTTTTCTCACTGAATCCTACTTATTGAATAATATCTTTTAATCCTGACCTCTCCGATTACTCCTAATACCTTTACTACCTCTACTACTATTGGATTTGAATTGACAATTATATCTCTCTGTGTGCTAATGTGGTATGGCAACATGAACTGATGTACTTACGCACGAAATTGTACGTTGCATCTGACCGACTGACTTACGTAATGTCAAACTAAAATCGATTATCATTGATATCATCAATCGGTCATTGTTAGACTACTACTATTAGAAACCTGGCAGCATTGTTTGGACGACCGTTTCGTCCTGGTATGGGACTGTTCAGTAATGTGCATCCAGAAATCAGATAAAGGACCTCCGGTCTTGATCGCGAATACTTAACATTTACACCAATGAGCAGGCAACACAAACGGTGTTATTGTCTAACTGTATGTAATCGATCTACGGTTTTTGTGCAACTTCAGTTATTGTCTTCGGTAGTTACTGTCTACAAATGACACAGAGTTGAACTCCATTTGTCATGACTTCTCACTAGAACTCAAATAAACTTCCTCATGATATTAATCTCTAGTGAGCATATTTCATCATAAAGTTATAGAGATTGTTGTATTTCCTTGAACTGTTGGATGCACACTGTTGATAAGTTTCCTACCGGGACGAAACAGCCGCTTTTCATTGCTTCTCAATGAAACATCACAAACTCCAATAACTCCATGATGAAGAATAGTCTGCTTGATTTGTTTAAATATTTGTGAAATATATGTGAAGTGACCTAGATTTTACGCTAATCAATATTTGAATGCAAGATGCTGTAAAGTTCAAGCATATATAATCTACTGAGCTATCACAATGCTCATTGATTTCTTACAGCATTGTTGAGATACGTATACTGAAATATTTGACCAGTTCTTTGTTAATGATCGATTTCTATTGATCAGGGTGTAATAAATAATAGGGTCGGAGAGTAAGAGCAAGCACGATACTGGTAGGTGATTATTTAGTGATCAATTCACGTGACTCGTACAGCATATAACTCTTGAGAGTTTGGGGGTTAAAAAACAGAATTCGTCGGGAAATTCTTGTTACGCCTGCACGTAAACACATCAACTTCATATACTTCAACTATTACGAGTTTACCTAGTCGGAAAACGAGAGCGAGGATCCGGTGACACGACATGCTACTCAGATCTGATTATGCCAACCCCCATATTTAGTTAAAATAAGAAGACTTGAATGAGAAGTAGAACCTGTATTCTACAGGCATCCAGAAAGTACGAGGTCCGAATCCAGAAGAGAATCACGACCCCGAACTAAGGATCCGGAACCGGGTCTTGGTCATATAACGTTACAAGTAATGCGTATTTATACATTTCGGTCGAATAGGAAACAGCATCGAATTCTGTGACATTGACAGTTAAGACGACCAATAGGAAGTAACATTTGAAGTGACATTGATAGTCAGGACAACCAATAATAAGCAACATTGTAGCACGTGACACTGATATCTAGGACGACCATAAAATTGACCAGTAGGAATTAACCAATAGCAATAGATCAATAATTCTCTTAGGATATTGGATGAATATCCTAACAATTCTCTACAGGCCCCAAAAACCCCATGTGACGTTTTATCCAATCAGCATTGAATAGAATCCATTAGAAGACTGTCTAACAAATGCAGAACCACATGACATGATTTTGTTTGGATATTGAACCATACCGCTACAATTTGTTCAATATGATTCCCGGAATCTGTAAGGACACAACGTCTTGAGTAACTCCATAAATACCCTCAATCATATGTCAATCGACTAAAGTTGGAGTAAAGAGTTTGTATAGTGCTTCGTTTGAAGTAAACAGTTCCAATGACAGTTCACCATAAGCTCTTAGTCGAATAGAGGTTGTACAAGGTTAACGTACTTCTTCGGTTCACCTTTCAATGACAGACACTGCCACAGAACCTCAAAATCGACAGTCGAATACAGCTTTGAGGTCCAGGAAAACAACTACTGTCGGACGCTGCAATGTGTGTCTGTGTTCTAGGACTTTTCGAACTGTATATATACAGACTGAACAGCCACATCCGGGTCTCAAACCAGCCTAGTTTTCTGGAGTCTCCTCTTCACAAGCACTAGTTAGACGTTTACGTATTATTGAAGCTAACATTTTGGACACTATATTAGTCAAACGGATTCCTCTCAGAATGTCAAAAGAGGAATTTTTTCCTTTCTAATAGACTGGGACAGTCAGTGATTAAGACTAGTCAGATGAGATGACATGCTGTTCCCAGATTCTAGCCAAGATCTCAGTCTATCTAACTGCTAAAACTGGACCACTATCTTTACAAATCTCAGGGGTACACCTGTCATGACCTGCTACTATTGCTCACGATAGATTTCCTATAGCTTTTTCAGCTTTGTAAATAGTTGGACGACTTACACCAACTTGCTATTCAGGTTGAGGTGTGGCTGAAGGCCAGTTGAATTGATCCCTAAACTGTTCTGCCCACTGATTCAGTCTCCTGGACAGTGCCATCGTTTTCCGAGATAACCTCGTCAACAGTCGAATTCCTAATTCCAGTTTCCCTGATAATTCTGAAGTGCTATCTACTGTTCGCTATTGCAACTGCCTTCTTCTATCGCTCTTGCTTCTGTAACCCACCACTATTTGCGGTGGTGGTTGAAATCATTGAAATCATCGAGATCAATATATGCTGATGAGTTCCATACCAGGACGAAACGGTCGTCCAGTGCTTCCAGCATTCCAATGGTGGTCTAACAATCATTGATTGATGATTTCAAATGTGTAAAAACACAAGCCTCCAAAACTCTGCCTGAAAATAAATATATGCGTTTGTTTACAAACTTAGTGTTTCATCCAAGTATGGGATTCATCAGCATTGAGCATCCACGATCCCTCAACTCTCCAAAGTTGAACCCAGGACCTTCGGTCTCGTGCGCAAAACGCTTAACCTTTAGACTATACTAAGCCATCAGCTTCCGACGATGTTCCCATTACTAGGAAGAGACAGTCGTCTTACCAAGTGCTTCCAGGTTCTTCCTAATGCTGCTGTAACTAACACTCATCGGATTCATGATTTGATCAAATTTGTTTTTATTTATTTAAATCCAAAGGAAATACATTTTTATTTTGTCATGTTTTGTCTTCAACAAAAAGAAAAGGATAGATAGATACACACATACACGCAGAGAGAGAGAGACAGACAGACAGACATACATACATACACAAATAAAAATATCACTCTCAAGAAAAAGGAAATCATCATGATACATTCCATTGTTTGTATTCTGTTCACAGTATGGATGAATGTTTTAACGAACTGTTGAACCAGGCGGTACATCATCTGATACAGTAATCCATTTATTCCGATTTATAGAACCTAAACGCCAATTACGCCAATGAATAAATTGACCAACTGGTGCAATTGCTAAATCTGGACATAAATATTCCCATAATTTCGTTTTAGATGATAATAATTTATCTGGTTCTCTAAAGAATAGCGATGATGATGGGGATGTAGAGGATGATGATATTGTCATCGGTGAATTGAACGACTTGTCATCATCATCATCATTATCAATTGAATGAAATACAAAACGTTCACCTAATACAGCATCTTGTTTATTCCATAAATGTAATGGTTGTACTTTGAGTAATGATGAACTCTTCTCGGTATAGGATACACAAAGTAACATTGCCTATAAATAGGAAATAAAAATGGTGTTTTTTTTTGGGGGGGGGAGGAGGAAAAAAATAGACATTTATACATAGAAAAATTATATATATAACAGACAATCCAATTAGAGATCATTAGGATTGATAAAATAAAGTCAGTCACAGTCAGTCAGATGCAATGTAGAACTACTATGTACGTAAGTACATCACTTCATGTTGCCATACCACATTAGCACACAGAGAGACGTAATTGTCAATTCAAATCCAATAGTAGTAGAGGTAGTAAAGGTATTAGAAGTAATCGGAGAGGTCAGGATTAGAAGATATTATTCAAGAAGTATGATTTAGTGAGAAAAGTTTACAAAGTCAAAACTAGAGGTGTTGAAGAATCCAGAAGATTAGGATTTGAGAGAACACAAAGAACAAATGCACCGGCACCATTGCGAACGATTTTGAGCCATGTCATTCAAGGTCTCTAATCATCGATTATTATCATCTCGCGGACCCCAATCAGGTAGTCGACAATTACCAACATGGCTAAGTGCACTCGTCAATGACTTCATGGATTTCTGCCATGTTTTGGTCTGGCCGGCCCTAACTTTCTTCCAACCTAATCCTACACTACAAAACAAAGCCCGTCGAGGCAGTCGGTGGTTAGGCATACGCAACACATGTCCCAACCACCTCAACTGATGAAGTTTCACCACTTCATCTATTGATCTTCCATTCCACCCGTTCAATAATAACAGAGTTGCTCACTCGGGTGTCCCACGATATACGAGCAATGCTTCGAAGACACCAATGATCGAAAACCAGTAGCCTACGAATATCTTCTACTCTCACTGGCCATGTTTCACAGCCATAAAGTAAGACGGAGCGAACTGCTGCGCAGAACACTCGTCCTTTAGTCAGAAAACGGATATATCGTCTACGCCATGAGTGACGCAGGTTGGCAAAAGCCAATCGAGCTTTCTGTATCCGATCTGAGATTTCGTCAGTCACCAGCCCACCAGCACTGATGATACTCCCCAGATAAGTGAAGCGGTCTACACGTTCGACTACTTCACTCCCTAGTACTAGTTCAGAAACCGATGCAACCCAATCTTGAAGCAACATTTTGCATTTCGACGGGGTGAAACCGCATGCCGAACATGCTTGCATTGTTGCTTAGGGTGGTCAGAAGACTCTGCATTTTGTCAGCGTGTTCACCTGATAAAATAAATGAGATGAATAGTTGAGTGTTATTCATTGGTCAATTTGCTGATTGATAATAAATCGAACGTCATTGATCCCACTGTTGAAGGTATGACGGGCGGATGTCACTTTTCAGCTGTCCACACCATGGAAGGGAAGATTTCTTGAGGACTATGAAAAGGAAATTGGATTAGCCTTGGTCTAAGAGAACTAGGAGCATGACCACAGAGTCTAAGAGACAACTGCTTGAGGCCGACAACGCACGGTGTTTTTAAAATGTTTGCTAGGCTCTTCAAATAATAGCCTTACCGCCGAGGACGGAAATCAATTGGGCGTACGGTTAGGAGTGATATTTTTAAGGTCAACCTTTTCTAACCCCATTTCTTCTGTTACGAGAAGGCAGTATGGCTGCAGACGCTAGTTTTCATAACCCTCTACAGTCAGCAGTACCAATTTGTTCTCAATTATTGAGTTACTGCTTTTAGTTTCACTGTTCTCCAATCAATCTGCCTGGCACCGTAGGACCTGAAGGAACATGTGTTCCAACTAATTTATGTATATGTACGTACATCAGTTCAGGTTGTCATACCACATTAGCATACAGAGATGCGATTGTCAATTCAAATCTCATAGTAGTAGAAGTAGTACAGGTATTAGTGGTAATGTAGAGGGGATAATTCGAATTCAAGTGGTCAGGCTTGCCTATCTTGCTGAACCAACCGAGTTATATTGGTTGGTACGTATGTTCCTGTTTGTTCTACGATGCCCGGTAGGTCGATTGGAGAATAGTGAGACTAGAAGCAGAAATACGATGTTTGAGGAGGAATTCATACAGTTGACTGTAAAGGTGTGTGACAGCAGAAAAGTGTTCCCTTACGCAGCATCTACAGCGATGCTGCGGGGTTAGAAAAAGTCGACCCTCCGATTGTCACACCTTACCTTACCTCAAAGATTTCTGTCTCCGGCAGTAAGGCCTTTTAAACAAGGGTGGAACTAACACTTTACAAACTTCTCATAAAAGGACCGTGCGTGACCGACCTCCAAGCAATTGTTCCTTTGGACTTTGCGGTCACGCTACCAGGTCTCTAAGACCAACGCTAATCCAATTTCTTTTCTAAATTCCTCAAAAAAAAACCCTCCCACGGTGTGGCAACTGAGAAGTGACATCCACCCTCATAAACTTAACAGCACACCAGACCAACTTGATCACAATCAAATCCTTCTTAAACCTCTTAACATCTTTGTTATTTCCGACTCTTTGAGTATGCAACATGATTCATCAAGAACAAATAAATCATTCGTCATTTAAAGACGCAGAGTTTGATATCTCATACAATAGTAGTGAATGCCCAGGGCTAGGCAGTTCCGTATTTAGACAAAACAGTTATTCAGTAACTCCTCCTAGAGGCCTTCTGCGGTCATTGCCGCTCCTAAGCTCGAGGTTAGCGACCTGATCCCGTAGAAAAATCTACTATATAAAAAACAATCTCACTTCACTAAATCAGTGAGATGATAACTAACACACAACGTTTGAACAACACCAAAGTGACCTTGAAAAAAATTCAACTACTTATTTGAGTCTAAGCAGAGTTAGCGTAAGGAAGAGAAATTGGGATGTATAGTTAGAAGTTCGGCTTTTCATCACAAACTGGTTTTGCCTGTTAACCCCACCCCCCTCCCAATGGAGCATAGGCCACTGATCAGCATTTGTCAACCTACTCTGTCTAGGGGCGGCCAAACCAAAACATGGCATAAATGCTTGAAGTCACTGATAAGTGGACTAAGTCATGTTGGTAGATGTAGGCTATCTGGTTGGGATCCGTGAGACGATAGTCACGAATGGTTAGAGACCTTGAATGACATGGCTCAGAATCGTTTACAATGGTGCAGGTGCATCCACTCTTTCTGTTCTATGAAATTCTAAGCTTCTGCATTCCTCATAATCTCTACCTTTCTCCTTCTAAATTTATCTTACTGAATTATACTTCTCGAATTATATCTTCGCTCCCTAACCTTCTCCATTACTGGTAATACTTCTATTATTGCTATCACTCTTGTATTTGAACTGACAATTACGTCTCTGTGTGAACCTACTCTGTTCTCGACCTTTCTTTATTAGTTCTAACCAATCGGTGGTGTTCATTCTTCTCATGTCTGTCTCCATTTCTCAGCATAATATATTCCTTGGCATACCTCTTTTCTATTGGCCTTGATGGATTCTAAGTGAAGGCTTGTCTTTTGATGCATTTCGTTAGTTTCCTCAACGCAAGTGTTCTATCCACCAACTACTCCATTCCTTCACCATAAATCCACGATTATATATTCCAAAACTCATTGCCTTGAAACTGATCAAGTTCATCTATAAATTAAATAGTCTTACACGAATTCACTTAAGAGTTGAATCAACGTGTAACGCGTTTCTCAAGTATTATTTGTATACAAATATCATGTTAGAGTGTTAGTTATTTCCAATAAACTAATTGTAGTTATGTCATAACTAAATAACCAATCAAATTGTGGTTTAAGCGACCATCCACCACGTGATCTGATCTGACGTGTGTGTCTGTAAACTTTCTTTTTTTGTAAATGACCTCTACTAATTGAAGGACACTTATTATCTTATTATTATTGATGTGCATTACGGGGTTGTGAAGATTGTTAAGTTACACATTTTTGAAACCATGAATCGATCAATGTTAGACCACCATTAGAAACCTGGAAGCACTGAAAGACGGCCGTTTCGTCCTGGTATGGGACTCCTCAGCAGTGCGCATCCACGACTCCTGCACCCCGTAGGATTAGAACCCAGGACCTTCGGCATTGTGCGCGAACGCACTAACCGATAGACCACTGAGCCGGTATCTAACGGTGTTAATGTCTAACTTGATCATATTCACGGAGTTGCGCAACCTCATACACAGTCTTCGGTAGTAGTTACTGTGTACACCCGAACAGGTTGAACTTCACTGGTCACGTCTTCCCACTAGAACTCGGAGAAGATTCCTCACGAAGCTAGTCACTAGTGAGCACAGGTAATTTGCATTACGGGGTTATGAAGATTGTTAAGTTACACATTTTTGAAACCATGAACCGAAGGTCCTGGGTTCGAATCCTGCGGGGTGCAGGAGTCGTGGATGCGCACTGCTGAGGAGTCCCATACCAGGACGAAACGGCCGTCCAGTGCTTCCTGGTTTCTAATGGTGGTCTAACATTGGTCGATTCATGGTTTCAAAAATATTATTGATGTGACTCATAACTTTACTCATTTCCATAAGACACGCTACTATTGGTCGGTACGTTTGTGCTCGTCTTACTTGATGATAATTGTCATTTCCTTATTTATTGTACTAATTTAATTGTTTTTATGTTTAGAAACAGATAAAGTTTAAGGCCAAAAGTTGATCTTATTCTTCTGACTATAGCTTTCCCATAAACTCTGTCTGTCTGTGCTCGTCAATATTGATTGCGTTTACCGTTCTAGAATAATTACATCTGTAAGACAAATTAAATCTTACAAAGAGACCAACATATATAAAATTTAAAAAAAAAACTCTATTCATAAACAATTTATCAATCGATCTTTTTTTTTCTTACCTGAGATTCAATTCCACGAATTTTTACTGGTTTCAAATTAATCACAAATACACCATAACAATTGAGTAGTTTTTCCATTGGATAAACACCAGCTAATGCACTAATCACTGTACGTTTACCAATTGTTGAACCAAAATCTACTTCTTCAATAAATAAACTATCAGCATTTGGATGCTAGTTTTATTTTTTACAACAACAAAAAAGGAAGTAAAGTAGAAAAATTGAATATTTGTGGTGCGTGCTACTACACTTATAAGTAGTATATGACGCGAGTAAAAACGTAATGTCTGGTGGCAGCAGAAGATGGGGGAAGATCAAGAAAGTAAGAAGAGTGGGAACATAATGGAATTTGTATGAAATAGCATGAATAGTGAAATGTCAGACAATGGATTGAAGATTTGCAAATTAACCGTTTACGATATGGTTTTTCTATTTTACCAATTAACTCTGTAATTTGCGACTAAATACAATTCGGTTGCCCTTACCTGTGTTCTCCTTTAAATTACATCATAGTAGAAAGAGATAAAGGAAATTAGGGGAGAAAAATTGATATATTATGGTAGTGTTTGGTTCTCTCTATAAGCTGGATGTTTTGATTGTGGAGATTTCTTCACTGTTCTTCTGTTGAACAACATTATCATCAACACAACACACCAGATAGAGAAATAGACAGATACAACACAGAACTTCATACATAAGTACAACAGAGTTCAGGTTGCCATACCACATCAGCACAGAGATGCAACTGTCAGTTCAAATCCAAAAGTGATAGTGATAGTAGAATTATCAGCAGCAATGGAGAAGATTAGGAAGTATAATTCAAAGAGATGAATTTAGAAGGAGAAAGATAGAGATTATGAGGAATTCAGAAGGTTGAAACTAAAAAGTACACAAAGAGTGGATGCACCTGAGCCATCGCAAACGATTGTAAGCCATGTCGTTCAACGTTTCTAACCATTGATGACTTTCGTCTCGCGGACTCCAACCAGCCAGTCTACATCTACCAACATGACTCAGTCCACTTGTCAGTGACTTCATGGATTTCTGATCTGTTTTGGTTTGGCTGCCCCTAGATTTCTTCCAACCTACTCCTACACCACAAAACATGGCTCATCGCGGCAGTCGGTGGTTGGGCATACGAAACACATGTTCCAACCACCCCAACTTTATCTATTGGTCAGCCACCTTACTCCTGAAAATTCAGACGAGGATAAGGTTATTTCTAGGAGCATGTCTCTGATAAAATTAAATAAAAATGGAAAGAGTGGACATCCCTGACGGACACCACTTGAAGTGAAGAATTCCGGTGACAGTTCGCCATAAGCTCTCACTCGACCAGTGGTGTTCGAGTAGAGAGCTTGTATGAGGTTAATGTACTTCTTTGGTACACCTTTTAATGACAGACACTGCCACAGAACCTCACGATCCACTGAGTCAAATGCCGCTTTTAGGTCCAGGAAAACTGATGAAGTTTCACCACTTCATCTATTGATCTGCCATCCTTACCTAGAACTCGTTTCCTAACGATAGCATTGCTTACTCGGTTGTCTCACGATATACGAGCAATGCTTCAACATCAGACAGAAGAAGTGAAGTAGCCGAATTTCTCCATGTTTGCCCCTTAGCTTGTTCTGTTAACCTCGATCTTGATTAGTTGCTGTTAACCTTAAACCTGTCGCTGTTTGCACTTCTATTTTGATTGCATCTCCCTTTGATCTGTTTCGCGATCCTGTGTCACCTATGATTTTTCTGATTGGTCAATGTAGATGAGTTTGTTGATTGCTGATTGGTTTGTGAGTGTCGAGTATCTAAAAATCCTCTAGTCTTCTTTGTACTCCTACCTCTATCCAGTATTTCGACATTGTTCCAATCGAATGTATGTCCATAATTGTCCGTATGTATTGATATAAGCGAAGAAATGTAATGGTATTTGACTGCTAATTGATGTTCACGCAGACGAAGCTCACGAGGTTGTCTACTTTGTCCGACGTAGTGTTTTTTCGTGATCCGAGCAATTTATTTTGTAGATGGGATATTTAGTTTTTCTTCCTTTGTCATTTTATCCTTTGGTCTACAACATAGAATTGATCGAAGTGGCTCTGGTTGGTTTGTGTGCTACACCTAAGTGAAGAAAGATGATAAAAGCTTCACAGGCGAAACATCCAGCTCAGAGAACAAAGCTCCACTACAATCACCTACCTGAACTACAAATTTTCTCTACCATATCAAAAATTGATATAACTGTTGTGTTCTGAATACATATTTCTTTATGAGGGGAACCACAGTTTATCAGTTAGTCAGTCAGTCAGTTAAAACGTAGAACTTCGTACGTGCATACATCAGATTTCAGGTTGCCATAACATATTAGCACAGAGTGAGACGCAATTGTCAATTCAAATCCCATAGTAAGAGAATTATTAGCGGTGATCAGAGAGATAAGGGTTCGACGATATTATTTAATAAGTAGGATCTATTGAAATAAACTTAAAAACATAAAGGTGATGAGGAATTGAGAAGGTTAGGATTCGAGAAAACACAAAGTATGGACGCGCGTGCGCCATTGCAGACCATTTTGAGCCATGTCGTTCAAAGTATCTAACCATCGGTGACTTTTGTCTCGCGGACCCCAACCAGGTAGTCTACATCTATCAACATGACTCAGTCCATTTGTCAGTGACTTCATGGATTTCTTCCATGTTTTGGTTTGGCCGCCAGTAGCTTTCTTCCAACCTACTCCTACACCACAAAACATAGCTCGACAAGGCAGTCGGTGGTTAGGCATACGCAACACATGTCCCAACTACCCCAACTTCGTCTATTGGTCTGCCAGCCTTACCTGGTACCCATTTCCTAATAACAGCATTGTTTACTGGACAATCTCAAGATAATCACGCAATGCTTCGGAGACACCTATGATCAAGAACCAGTAACGTACAGTTTGTACTCACACTGAATTAGATATTGCAACGCCACACTACTACATACATCGAGACTAGATCACGTTCACTGACTGAATACACGATTCACGTGTAAAACGATTACAACCAAAGTAAGTGGTAGTGTAGTGTAAAGTGTGTGTGCACAAATATCTGGTCAAGCTCACCAACAGGGTTTTATCCTAGCCTTTGGATAAATTAATTAATCTTTTTTACACGAGTCAATATTCACACATCTATCGATCTGGTCAATTGTTTGCTTACAATCTTAGTTAGCTTTATTTGAGTGTGTGACTGTATGCTTACTTTGCTTGTCACATGTCTAGCCTAATATCTTAAGAGTACTTTTCATAAGTACTTTAATTGTCACGTTTCATCAAAATTCAGTTGGTTAACTCGTCGTTTCCACTTTGTTCCGCCTTACTTTTACTCTTTCGATTCTCATGTCTGTTTGCATGAACGATCGCATGTAATAAACGCATCCTACTTGAATACGTATTTGACTTCGGGGGTTCACCGAAAGTGAAGGGGAAGATTTATTTTATACCATATTCAACTGTTCGTCCAAAGTGAGGTCAGATCGCAGGTGAGCCCTGCTTCGAATTTAACGTAGGTTATTTACAAGCAATCACACTCAATGGATCTGGAGTAGTAGAAATCGATCAGAAGTAAATACAATCACATATTTTATAGTCACATAAAACTTAGCGACTGTTTATCCAAGCTGGATGACCAATTAAATTTTTCCTTTTACTATCGATCACACGGTAAACTAATCACTATCGATAGATTTCGTATCTTGCTTCACTCATTTGAGTTAGATTAGTTCTAGTGTTAAACATTATTGGTTTATATAAATTCTCAGTTGATGAGTTGAAAGGTAGCTCTAAAAATCACACGGGAAATTTTAAAGGAGCATTCAAGTCCATCATCTTTCATATCTACCTTTAACCAATATATGAACTATTTAAGAATAGTAAGTAGTAATCATGTGCTAATGTGGTTGTCAAACGTGCAATCAATTTGTTTTGCTGATTTTGAGTACCACCAGGTTGTATATTTTTGTTTTTCGGGAAAATTGGATGACTCTTCCGGTGTCTTACATTGTACGAATATCCCAAGTGCCTAAATTCATGGTTGCTCTGGAAGTTAGAGAAGAGGCATCCGCCTCGCGGCTCTCGAAGAATCTCGGCTTTCATCACGAGGCGTCATTAACCTTCTACGCGGAGACCTTCCAAACCCCACGACAGGGTTTAAATGGTTTGAATTATTTTTTCTGGCTAGCCTTTATTTACCAAATTAGTTTTCTACGGGATGGGGTTGTTAACCCCAAGTGCAACTTTTCTCCATTACCCGGGCTTGGGATCAGCAGTAACCCCAAAGGGGTTCCAGGCGGATGGTGGACAGACACCATTAACGACAATTTACTGTGGGAGAGAACAAACGAGATTGCAGCAGACGGAGGAATCAGGAAGAAGTACTGGAGGTGGATGAGACACACATTGTGAAAACCACACAACTGCGTCACAAGACAAGCGTCATTTGAAATCCTCAAGGTCAAAGGAAAGGAGGAAGATCAAAGAATACACTATGCCAAGAAATGGAAACAGACACGATAAAAAAATGAGCACCAATTGGACAGAGCTGGTAAGGAAGTCCCATGGCAGAGAAGGTTGGAGAATGCTGATCGGCAGCCTATGCTCCCACTGAGAGGTAACAGGCGTAAATGAGTGATGTGATGACTAGTGAAGAGATGATTTTTTTGGTGGACTATTTAAAATATGAAGTTGTCCACAATCATTGAGAGTGGAGTTTACCATCTTTTAACGACTGAATGATCACAAACTTATAGAAACAAAGAATATGGATAAGGGATAAAAACATATATTGAGGCCGACTTCGTGATATCTGATAGGATAACAAGATCTGAGGATAAACCCGGAAATTGGATGATGCCCCTTATAGCACAGGACAGGAAAGATTTTTATTGCTCATTGCTACATGGATTTATATTATAACTTGGTTTAGGCATGTTTAGGCAGACACGTCAAATGATGCAGACGACTCACATTGTTGTCAACTAACTCACTATCTATGCGTAATAAACTGCGTTAAACAGTGGCGCTGTTCAATTTGATGGTCAGTGTTGGGAATGTTAGATCCCCAGTTGAAATCACATTTACCACCACGAAAATCCTTGGCTGTGATTGGTTACTGTGTCATTTTAGTGTGCTATTTTTGTGACTGTCCCAAGGACGTCTCTATAAAGTATAAATAAACGCAATTTGACTGCTTGGATTTATTATGTGCTAGCTGGGTGTTTGTAGAATACAACTTCTACACTATATCAAGACTTCTTGCTGATACCTTTTGGTCAAGGGATCACAGTAGCCTACCTGGACGCTGGTTCATTGCTTTGTTCTTGTTATTCGACCAAGGTGAACTCGTAATAGTTTAAGCATACCTAGAGACGAGCGTAAAAGTCATTGAGTTCGAAGCAACCCGGCTGAGAGTGGATACTACCAGAGAGGTTATACTCACCGCCTTCTCGTAGCAGGGTTGTTATTTACGAAATTAGGAGAATGAAAAGTGAATATCTGGATAGGGCTTAAACTGGGTTAGTGGGCATAGAGGATGGATCCACTTAAAAGAGTTGCGAAACTTTGACTTCAAACCAACAGTTCACATAAGGCTCCAGGATGCTGACGAAACCAACGGTCTAAGAACCTACTGTCAGTGACCAGCCACCATAGGATTTTGCTCCACTGCTTTGTCGATTAGACTTTCAAGTAAGCGGCTTGCGTAAGTGGCCTCCAGATAAAACTACCTCTTTTGATTTGGGCACCCAGACAGTAGTATCTCAGTCTACATAAAAATTTAACGATATCCTAAGAGAATTATTGGTTAATTCCTACTGGTCAATTTTATGGTCGTCCTAGATATCAATGTCACCGGATCCTCGATCCTCGCTCTCGTTTTCCGACTAGGTAAACTCGTAATAGTCCAAGTATATCAAGTTGACGTGTTTACGTGCAGGCGTAACAATTTTGGCGACGGGGATGGGCTGACATTGATCCTTAGAGACTTGAATTATTACCCGAAAAGCAGCTGAACTAATGAAAATGTTGATGGATACCAAGCTGCATCGTGACTCGACTATGGTGGATCAAGTCAATCTGACGTTGTGTAGTGCATCTGTCAACTAACCAGAGTAGCTCTGCCCCCTGCTACATCCAGTCCACCTCACTTCAGCTCAATCCGATAGCCGATCTAAAATCAATCTATTAGATTGGTTCAAACGGCTAACATTAGCAGATATCCCATCAAGCATATAAGAAGAAGCCAACCCACTCAGAAGTACCCAAGACTGGTCCTCATCTCTTTTGCAGAAATATCCTACCCGACAGCAGCAAAAACAGTCCAGATCCAAATAAACTGTCGTGTGTCGCTTTAAATTCTTCAGAGGGAGGTGTTAGGATATTCATCCAATATCCTAAGAGAATTATTGGTCTATTCCTACTGGTCAATTTTATGGTCGTCCTAGATATCAATGTCACCGGATCCTCGATCCGACTAGGTAAACTCGTAATAGTTCAAGTATATCAAGTTGACGTGTTTACGTGCAGGCGTAACACTTACATTACTAACTAACGCCTGTTACTCACCCGATGTGGAGCATAGGCCACCACCGACTAACATTCTCGAACCCTAAATCTAACAAACATATACACATACATCGATACAAGCTAATCAAATAAAACAAACTAATCAATAAAAGTGTGTGTGTGTGTGTGTGTGTGTGGAAGAGAGAGAGAGGGAGAGAGCAAAATAAGAAGCTACTCATTATTTTCTTTACTCGACTCACTATTTTAACTGATAAAATTAAACCAATTCGTATATCTAAACGATTTGGATTGAGTTCATCTGAAGAATTCACGCATAAAGTTGATGATGGTAACATTGTAGTGCCATTTAACGTGGGAACAACTGTAAAATAGAAAAAAATTTCGGATAAAAAAACACTTACAAGAAATAGAAAATAATATAACTTCATCAGTTGAGGTAGCTACGATGTTCATGTGTTACGTATGCCCAAATACGTAGCTGCTAGCTCGACGTGGTGGTCGGGCTTGACTATCCTGATGACCCAATCGAGCTAAATTGGCTGGAACATATGTTCCTGAAGGTTCTACCATGCCAGGAAGGTCGATTGGAGAACGATGAGACTAAAAGCAGCTACTCAAGGTCTCAGGGAGAAGTCGTACTGCTGACTATGATGGAGGGGTGTGATAGCAGTAAGGTGTTTCCCTCAGACAACCAGCATCTGCAGTGATGCTGCCTTCTCACAAGGAAGGAAGGGTTAGAAAAGGTCGACCCTAAAAATGCCACACCTAACCCTACCTCACGGATTTCCGTCTCCGTCGGTAAAAGTGTCCACTAAGGGCTTTTAGGAGCAGAGCTAATACTCAAAAAACCCTTCATAAAAAGGCCTTGCGTGACCGGCCTCAAGCAGTTGTCCCTTGGACTCTGCGGTCACGTACTCAGGTCTCTAAGACCAACACTAATCTATCTTCCTTTTCAGGTCCCTCAAGAAACACCCTTCCACGGTGTGGGCAGCCAGGAAGTGACAACCGCCGTCATACCTGTATCAGCACACGAGACCGAATTGATCAAAATCAAATCCTTCCTATACCCCATAGTGCTTCTCTTATCTCCACGACTAACTCTACTCACATTCCTTTATCTCGCTGCACCACTAATGCAAACAATGCTAGTTCACGAAACGTCATTTCTGGTCTCCTGAAACCCCGTTTTAGACTACATGTTGCATCATTTAACGTACGTACGTATGTCCAACCGCCGACTACCTCGACGAGCTATGTTCTATGGTGTAAGAGTAGGTTGGTGGCGAAACCAAAACATGGCACAAATGCATGAAGTCACTGACTACTGGACTGAGTTATGTTGGTAGGTGTCCATTACCTGGTTGGGGTCCGCGAGACGATAGAAACTGGTGGTTAGAGATCTTGAACGACATGGCTCAAAATCGTTTGTAATTCTAATTTTCTGAATTAATCATCACCTTAATCTTCATCTTTCTAAAATTTAATTCACTAGATTCTACCTCTTGAATAATATCGTCGAACCCTAATCAACTATTTACAGATCAGTAGTAAGTATAGTCAACTTCACATTAATCATGATCTGACTGATCAAAAGTTGAAAGCTAATTAAATGAAGATTGTTGAATATGACAAAAAAATTTAATTCTGCATTTTAGAGTGTATTATGGAAGATCGATAATTGCTTTTACACACATTGAAATTCGGAATGAATCATTGTTTTAGATCGAGGTGATAAACAATGTAAAAAGAAAGGTTGGTCGAGGAGATAAGAGAGTATTTTTCACGTGTAGAAAGGATTTGATTGTGACTGATTTGGTCTTGTGTGCTTCTATGGGCATGACGGCAGATGTAACTTCATGGCTGCCCACACTATGGAAGGGTTCTGGTTGTCAGAAGGGGTATCGGCCTCATGACTTCCGAAGCAATTAGACTTTCATTATGAGACGACGTCATAACTCTTTGAAATGAAGACCTTATAACTCTCAGTTTGTATGGTTTGAATTACTTTTTCTTGTTAACGTTTTTCATCAGTCAGTCAGATGCAACGTAGAACTTCGTACGTAAGTACATCAGTTCATGTTGCCATACCACCACATCAGCACAGAAATGTAATTGTCAATTCAAATCCAATAGTAGTAGAAGAGGTAGTAAAGGTATTAGAAGTAATCGGAGAAATTAGGATTAGAAGATATTATTCAAGAAGTATGATTCAGTGAGATAAGTTTAGAAAGTCAAAACTAGAGGTGTTGAAGAATCCAGAAGATTAGGATTTGAGAGAACACAAAGAATAAATGCACCGGCGCCATTGCGAACGATTTTGAGCCATGTCATTCAAGGTCTCTAACCATCGATTATTATCATCTCGCGGACCCCAACCACTTGTCAATGACTTCATGTATTTCTGCCATGTTTTGGTTTGGCCGCCTCTAACTTTCTTCCAACCTACTCCTACAGTACAAAACAAAGCTCGTCGAGGCAGTCGGTGGTTCGGCATACGCAACACATATCCTAACCACCTCAACTGATGAAGTTTCACCACTTCATCGATTGATCTGCCATCCTTGCCTAGCACCCGTTTCCTAACGACAACATTGCTTACTCGGTTGTCCCACGGTATACGAGCAATGCTTCGAAGACACCTATGATCGAAAACCAGTAACCTACGAATATCTTCTACTCTCATTGGCCATGTTTCACAGCCATAAAGTAAGACGGAGTGATCTACTGCACAGTACACTCGTCCTTTAGTCAGCAAAGGGATATCTCGCCTGCACCATAAGTGACGCAAGTTGGCAAAAGCCAATCAAGCTTTTTGTATCCGTTCCGAGATTTCGTCAGTCTCCAAGCCATCGGCACTGATGAGACTCCCAAGATAAGTGAAGCGGTCTACACGTTCGACTACTTCACTCCCTATTACTTGTTTAAGTACTCATGCGACTCAATTCCGAAACAACTTTTTGCATTTCTAGGCGGTAAACCACATCCCGAACATGCTTGCATTGTTGCTTAGGATAATCAAAAGACTCTGCATTTTGTCAGCGTCTTCATCAAGTAGGACTATGTCATCGGCATATTCTAAGTCAATAAGCAAGCCACCTGGTAGAAGGTCTACTCCAGAAAATTCAGACGAGGATAAGGTTATTTCTAGAAGCATGTCTATGATAAAATTAAACAAGAATGGAGAGAGTGGACATCCCTGACAGACACCACTTGAAGTAGAGAATTCCGGTGACAGTTCGCCATAAGCTCTCACTCGACCAGTGGTGTTCGAGTAGAGAGCTTGTATAAGGTTAATGTACTTCTTTGGTACACCTTTCAATGACAGACACTGCCACAGAACCTCACTATCCACAGAGTCAAATGCCGCCTTAAGGTCCAGGAAAACAACTATTCTAGGACGCCTAAATGTGTGTCTGTGTTCCAGGACCTGTCGTAGTGTGAAGATGTGGTCTATACAACCACGTCCAGGTCGAAAACCAGACTGGTTTTCTCTAGTCTGCTCTTCACGAGCTTTCGTTAAGCGTCGAAGTATTATTGAGGCCAATATTTTAGATACTATATTAGTTAGACTTATTCCCCTGTGATTATCACAAGAAGACTTTTGTCCTTTCTTATAGATTGGGACAATCAGTGATTGAGACCACTCGGATGGGATTGCGTCCAGTTCCCAGATTCTACCTAAGATCTCAGTCAGCCTAGCTGCTAAAACTGGACAACCATCCTTAAATATCTCAGGGGTCAGTCCATCAGGACCTGCAGCTCCTCCTCGTTTCAGATTTCCTAACGCTTTCTCAACGTCATTAAGACTAGGGGGACTTAGGTCGATTTGCCATTCAGGATGACCGGAGATCGTGGGTAACTGAAGAGTGGCTCGTGACCAGTTGAACTGATCCCTAAAGTGTTCTTCCCATCGATCCAGTCTCCTGGATTGAGAATGGATAATAAGACCATCCTTTTCCGAGATAGTCTCACTCACATTCGGGTTCTTAATACCAGTTTCCTTAATAAGGCGGAAAAGTTGTCTACTGTTGCTGATCGCCGCTGCCTTTTCCATCGCTTTTGCTTTCGCCACCCACCACTGTTCGCGGTCGTTACGTAGACTTTTTATAAGTCTGCGCCTAAGCTGACTACGCTCTTCATCATGCATAGAGTCAGGTGGGATGCGTTTTCGAGCATCCATCAGTTCGGTAGATGCGACTGATATCCACGGCTTCATCCTAGCCTTATGGTCAACCTTACTAGCAGATATCACTGCTGTTTCCACAGCCTTTTTGATATGATACCAACCTGCTTCTGGATGGGAATCACTTACATTGTTGCTTAACTCTCTTTCTAGTTGCTCCTGAAATATTTTCTTAGTTTGATTATCATTAAGTAAAACCCTAAGAGGCTTTCTTACGGTGTCTTTCCTACGCCCAGTAAGCCTCAAACAGATACGAGCTCGCACTAGAGCATGATCTGAATCCAAACATGTGCCCCACAACGAGCGACAGTCTCCTATCGAGCCCCTCCATCGGTGGCTGATGGCGATGTGATCTAGTTGCGTCCAACGTTGAGACGACTTCGGGGGTCGCCAGGTCAAAAGATGCTTTTCCTTATGCCTAAAGTTGGTGTTCGCTAAGAATAGGCGGTTGTCTGAGCATACTTGCAACAGACGGTCGCCATTGTCTGTTCTCTCAGTCGCTACACCATAACATCCACCTAGATGTCTTTCCTTTTCGCCTAGTCTACCTACTTTAGCATTAAAGTCACCAGCCATTATTACTATATCAGAGCGCCCAGCTTTTTGAAGGAGGTCCGAAAGCTTTCTGTAAAACTCATCTTTAACCTCGTCTGCACTGCAGTCAGTGGGGGCATAGGCATGTAGTGTGCCCGATGGCTGCGTGTTCTTATAGCTCGGTTTATAAATCAGAAGATGAACTCCAAGTATCGTATATGTTTATTTGAGGCACACCACATAGCGAATTGAAGAAGCGAATTGGAGAAGGCTAAGAGCCAACTCTTTGGATTACTATGCGAGCGAATGAGTGAGGCGAATTGGAGAAGGCTAGTGAGCCAACTCAAAGAGATAGAGCATGACTAAGAATATATAGTCAGACCAAAAATAAGACAGACATGTGACAACCGAAATAGGTATGCACACACATGAATAAAAGCGACGAATGATTGACAAGTTCAAAAGCAAGCGATACAAATCATGTGAGTTCATGGGAAAATTACGAGATTAACATTAAAGCGAAAAGGATGAGTAAGTGCGTAAGCGTAAGCAATGCTCAGTCGTACAAGCTCATACAAAGCAGATAATAAAAAATACCAATGGTGCATATGAGTTGTTGCTAAGCGAATGGCTTGGTTAAATAAATTAATCGAAAGGGCTTAAGCAAATTAAATGTAAGCAGATGCAAATAAATGTGGATGCACTACAGGCAGATATGACGAAGAGACAACGGCGAGTGTCCCTATCCTTCCGAGTCCTTACTGTCCCGTTTAGTCGGACAGCGCACAAACGACTATCTACTGGGATCCAGTCTAGGAGAGATAATTCTGCCCTAGGACTTAACGCTATGCCTACGCCAGAAAGACCCCTGGAAGCAGCATCAGGGCTACCGGATACACGAAGAGTAAATCGAGCTGCTTCTTCGTTTTGACAAGGTGGGATCAGGTTAATGACTTTACTAGGATCCTGTATGCGCGTTTCCGAGACGCAGCATACATCGATGGCACGAGTTTCTAAAGTCCTAGCTAATGATGCCTGTTGCCCTATTTGACACAATGTCCGTACATTGAATGCTCCAACATGTAGTTTGGAACGGGGTTTAAGGAGACCAGGAACGACGTTTCGCAAACTCGCATCGTTTGCATTAGCTGTGCACTGTAATAAATGAATGTGAGAAGAGTTAGTTGTGGAGATAAGAGAGGTATTAGGGAATGTAGGAAGGATTTGATTTTGAACAATTTTGTCTCGTGTGCTGTTGCGGGTATGAGGGCGGTTATCACTTCCCGGCTGCCCACACCGTGGAAGGTTGTTTCTTGACGAACCTGAAAAGGAAGATGGATTAGTGTTGGTGCGTGACCGCAGAGCCCAAGGGACAACTGCTTGAGGCCGGTCACACACGGCCTTTTTACGAGAGGTATTTAGAGGATTAGCTCCGTTCTTAAAGGCCCAGTGGGAACCCTTACCCAAGGAGACGGAAATCCGTGAGGTAGGGGAGGTGTGACATTTTTAGGGCCGACCTTTTCTAACCCTTCCTTCCTTGTGAGAAGGCAGCATCGCTGCAGATGCTGGTTGTCCGAGGGAAACACCTTACTGCTGTCACACCCCTCTGCAGTCAGCAGTACGACTTCGCCCTCAGACCTCTAGTAGCTGCTTTTAGTCTCATCGTTCTCCAATCGACCTGCCTGTCATGGTAGGACCTGCAGGAACATGTGTTCCAGCCAGTATAGCTCGGTTGGGTCATCACGATAGGCAAGCCCGACCACCACGTCAAGGTAGCAGCTACGGTCGGGAACGTTTTTTATAGCGAGTTAGTTTTTTGCGGGACGAGGTCGCAAATCCCAATCCCAACCCTCATCCTTTATCTGGGCTTGGGAACGGCAGTAGTCCCGAAAGGGTCTACAGGCGGAGTTGAATCATTGTCAGACCAGCATTAGAAACCTGGAAGCACTGAAAGACGACCGTTTCGTCCTAGCGTATGGGACTCATCAGTGGCAGTGCGCTTCCACGACTCCTGCTACTCACAGAATACGAACCCTTCAGTCTTGTGCACGAACGTTTAAAATCTGGACCACTGAGTAGGAGGCATCCAACGGCGCTAATGTCAATCTCTGATCAATCTAAGGATTGTTTTTGATCAACCTCACCCATTCATTGGTCTTTCCTAGTTACTGACTACATATCCGACAGGGTTGAACTCCCCTGATCACGCATCTTCTCACTATTTAAACACATAAACATTGAGTGTGCAGCAAAAGGGCGCTCTATACAAATGCACTTAGGATAATACACTTACCACAGTTGTACAAAACCAAAGCAGGTCACCCATTCTAATTACATACAATGGCATTACAACACACGTACACACAAACACACACACACACGCGTACTCAGATTGACTTAAACAGGAACCAATTCACACTGACCTACCTTCTGGTTGTTGCTGTTGTAGTTGTTGTGTACCCTTTTCGGAAGACAAACTATTCCAATGATTCAACGAATCTGGTTGACTGGCAGTATTGTTTAGCGATGACTGATTCTTTAAAGATGATTTAGCAGCATTAGCTTGTTGCTGTTGATGTTGTTTCGTATTGGATTTTTTCTGATTTTGTTTACCGTGTGTTTTTGGCAAAGGAAAAGCTTTATCCAACAGTAACATTAATTCATTCCAATGTGGTAATGATTGCTTAAGACGATTAGCTAAACTATTCACATGATTTGCGGATAGGAAATTCTCAACAGCTGGTTTTAAATCTCCAGGATGTAAATTACCATTGGCAAAGTGTTCTGTCAATACATCATACTGTGTAAGACCACTACTATTACCAGATGACTGTGATGTAGCTGGAATGTGTAATGGTCCACCATTTTTCTCAGAACGTGGAATAATCAATGATTCTAAATAAATATTTTTTGGGGGGGGGAGAGAAAAAAAATTAAAACACAATAGAAATTAAATTAATAATCTGAGATGGAAAGTTTGAGGTTTTGCTTCCTGCTAGCAGTGTAGTTGTGGATATTGATAAGTCTTTGTTGGGGGACGTTAGTTGTCTTAGAACTAAACTTGGAAAAGGTCCTAATCTTGTAATTTTATCATGAAATTTTGAATTTCATTGTTTTCGCGTCGGAGATGCTAAGTTGGCTTTAAGTTTATATTTCGTACTCGAAAAATCCTTGACTGTGATTGGTAGATGAATTATTTTAGTATGCTATTTTGTAGCTCTCACTGTTAGGATATTCATCCAATATCCTAAGATAATTATTGGTCTATTTCTGTTGGTTAATTCATAATGGTCAATTTTATGGTCGTCCTAGTAGATATCAATGTCACGTGATCCAATGTTATTTCTTATTGGTCGTCCTGACTGGTAATGTCACTTCAAATGTTGCTTCCTATTGGTCGTTTTAACTGCAAATGTCATAGAATTTGATGCTGTTTCCTTTTCGACCAAAATGTATAAATACGCATTATCTGTGAGGTTTTATGACCAGGACCTGGATCCTGATTCTCTTCTGGACTCGGACCTCATACTTCCTGGATGCTTGTAGAATACAGGTTCTATTTCACATTCAAGTCTTCTTATTTTTACTCAATATGGGGGTTGGGATAATCGGATTTGAGTAGCATGTCGTGACGCCGTATCCTCGATCTTCGCTCTCGTATTCCGACTAGTCTTCGATCATAGATGTTTAAGAAGCATTGCTCGTATATCCTGGAATAACCGAGTAAGCAATGCTATATTTAGGAAAAGAGTACTAGGTAAGAATGGCAGATCAATAGATGAAGTGGTGAAACTTCATCAGTTGAGATGGTTGGGTGTTGTGTTACGAATGCCCAACCACCGACTGCCTCAACGAGCTATGTTTTGTGGTGTACGAGTAGGTTGGAAGAAAGTTAGGGGCGGCCAAACAAAAACATGGCAGAAATCTATGAAGTCACTGACAAGTGGACTGAGTCATGTTGGTAGATGTAGACTACCTTGGTTGGGGTCCGCGAGACGAAAGTCACCAATGGTTAGAGACGTTGAACGACATGGCTCAAAATCGTTTGCAATGGCACAAGTGCATCCATTCTTTGAGCTCTCTCAAATCCTAATCTTCTAGATTCGTCAGCACCTGTACCTTTGTCTTTCTAACCTTATCTCACTGAATTATACTTCTTGAATCATATCTTCAAACCCTAGTCTTCTTCATTACCATTAATACCCCTACTATCTTTATCACTATGGGATTTGATTTGACATTTGCGTCAATGTGCTAATGCAGTATGGCGACCTGAACTGATGTACGTACGTACGAAGTTCTACGTTGTCACAGACTGACTGAATATTAGCTCTATATTTTTCATTATAGAGTTACGAAGATTGTTGTTTAACATGGAAATCGTAAATCCAATCATTGTTAGACCATCATTAGAAACCTGAAGGACGATCGTTTCGTTCTAGCATAGGACTCATTAGCGGTGCGCATCCATGACCCTCCGTTCACAGGAATTGAACATAGGGAGTTTAGGTCTTGCACACAGACACTTAACCTGTAGACCATTGAGCCGGAATTCAACGGAAAAGGTAATAATGGTCAAGTAATTGAGAAATTTTGATTTTTTTTTCACTCGATCCAGGCTACATTTACATTAGTTTGGGCGAATTTATTAGTAATCACAGCCTGCAAATCTTTAAAGCACTTACTTACTTACGCCTGTTACCCCCAATAGAGGAGCAAAGGCCGCCCACCAGTTTTCTCCAACCAACTCTGTCCTAGGCTTCCCTTTCCAGTTCTGTCGAATTTTTGTTCATTCTTCTCATATCTTTCTCTATTACTCGGTGTAATGTGTTCCTTGGCCTTTCCTCTTTTCCCCTTACACTGAGGGTTACTATTAACTAATTGTGAACTTGTATTCGGTAAGTTGGGGGGCTGGGGCTAGGGTTCGAACCCGTGATCTTTCGTTTTACGTAAAAATAGTATTGTTAGAAATCAACAGAACAAAAAAAAACAAAGTTAAACACTAATATACCTCCAGGTGACAAGTCTGGAATCAACACCCAACGACATATATCCAATATAGGATTAACATCAATATTATTCGGTTGACAAAATGCACGTTTAATACGACGTTTCAATCCAGCCAATGGAACATTTTCAATGGATCCACCAGATATAGTGGACGGTGGTTCAATCAGAGGCAAATAATGATCTTCCATCAATGCAGCTAATGTTTTAGCCGATGTTGGACCGGTACACCGACTAGATAATGGACATGATTTCATTGGTGGAAATGATAGTAACTGATCGACTGGATTATTAGTTGGCGCTTGAAGACTAATAAGCATTGGATGAGTGAGATGAATAGTTTCAATGGAATTCGGAAAATGATGTAAGAACTGTTTGCCAAAAAAAGAAGAGAGTAGGGAAAAAAATCATACAGACTACTATTACACATTGAAATCATGTATCAATCATGGTTAGACATGGAAGCACTGGATGGCCGTTTTGTCCTGGTATAGGATTCATCAGCAGTGCGCATTCACAACTCGCGCTACTTGCAGGATTCGAACCCAAGGTCTTCGGACTTGCGCGCTAACGCGTAACCTGTGCACCACTGTACTGCCCGGCATTTAACGGTATTACTATTAATGTCTAACTCTGGTCAATCTAGGGATTTTGCTTCGTGAAGAAATTCTCGGAGTTCTAGTGAGATGTGACCAGTGGAGCTCATTCCCCTCTGAGTGTAGGCAGTAACTACCGAAGACAATGGTCGAAATTGAGCAAAATCCTTAGATTGACTAGAGTTAGACATTAACACCGTTGGATGCCGGCCAGTACAGTGATTCACAGGTTAGACGTTCGCGCGCAAGACCGAAGAACCTGGGTTTGAACCCTGTGAGTAGCAGGATTCGTGAATACACACTGCTGATGAGTCCGATACCAGGAAGAAAGGCCCGTCTAGTGCTTCCAGATTTATAATGGTGGTCTAACTATTATTATTACCAACAGTAATAATAATAATAATGACTAGTGTGATGCTTGTAGGCAACTGATGAAACCGACAAAAATTTGCTTTTACAAAATACAGTTGACATCGGTATACAAATTAATGCCATGGAACAGTAGTACGCATTACAACAAGGGGGGACTGGATTATAACACGATACAAATTCAACAAAAATGATGATGGAATTCATCAGTTTTTGAAGGGTGTTGACGAGAATCACCAGATATGTGTGTAGGCTTAGAAAGTTCTGTATTCCTGATAATCATACGATCGATTGATTCCCCCACTCCGCACTCAGGAGCATAACTGTGGAAACCAAATGACAATTATTTAAGGCTAGTGTTAGTTCCCTACAATTCATGTCTTACCGTAGAACAGTAGAAATCTCAAATATGCTACTGCTAAGGCAGATGAGCTTTTCTAAGCCTCGCTTTACTTTATAGGATCATGCTAAATAATGGTTATCTAGGAAAAGTAGCTTATTAGATTCATTGAAAGTAAACGTTAACACTGTTGAATACGGGTTCAGTAGTCGAAAGGTTAAGCGTTCAAGTATCAGATCGAAATTCTTGAGTTCAATTCACGTGTGGGGAGTCGTGGATTTGCATTGTTGAGGAGTTTTGTACTGAGGTGAAACGGCCATCTAGTTATCATAAGTTTTTACGAGTGGTCTAGCTAAAATCAGTTCCTGATTTCAAGTGTGTAAATACTACAATTTCCATAAATCCTTTTGACTAATATATATACGGCCACTTCGTCCTAGTATTGGACTCATCAGCAGTGTGCATATACGATCGCGCTCGCGGAAGACGAACCTAATAGAGTAACAATCTCCAAATTTCTATAACTAATATCATACAGCATGCTTACTAGTAACTAGAGTCGTGAGTAAATGCTCAGAATTCTAATGAGAAGTTCTGACTAGTGGAGTTCAACCATATCGGATGTAGGGAGTTACCTACCGAAAACTTACTTATTATACTTATTATACAACGTAGAACTTCGTACATAAGTACATCAGTTCAGGTTGCCATACCTCATAACGTAACTCTCAGTTCAAATCCAAGAGTGATAGCGATAGTAGAATTATTAGCAGCAATGGAGAAGATTAGGGAGCGAAGATATGATTCGAAAAGTATGATTCAGTGAGAAAAATTTAGAAGGAGAAAGATGGAAATGATGAGGAGTTCAGAAGGTTAGATTTTTAGAGAAGACAAAGATTGGATGCACTTGTATCATTGCGAACGGTTTTGAGCCATATCACTCAAAGTCTCTAACCATCGGTGACTTTCGTCTCGCGGACTCCAATCAGGTAGCCTACATCTACTAACATGACTCAGTCCATTTGTCAGTGACTTCATGGATTTCTGCCATCTTTTGGTTTGGCCGCCCCTAGCTTTCTTCCAACCTACTCCTACACCACAAAACATAGCTCGTCGAGGCAGTCAGTGGTTAGGCATACGTAACACATGTCCCAACCACCTCAACTGATGCAGTTTCACCACTTAATCTATTGCTTTGCCATCCTTACCTAGAACTCGTTTCCTAACGACAGCATTTTCCCATGATACACGAGCAATGCTTCGGAGACATCGATGATCGAAGACTAATAACCTACGAATACCCTCTACTCTCACTGGCCATGTTTCGCATCCGTATAGTAGGACATAGCGAACTGCTACGCAGTACACTTGTCCTTTGATTAACAAGCGGATATCTCGCCTGCACCATAAGTAACGCAATGGGTACGGTTGCGCAACACCTTGGATTGATCAAAATCAGACATAAACACCGTTGGATGCCACCAATTCAATGATCTAGAGGTTAGACGTTCACATACAAAATCGAAGCTCCTGGATTCGATACACACACTAGGACGAAGTGCGACCGTCTAAACAATGTTTCCAAAATTTCTACCTTGACGTGGTGGTCGGGCTTACCTATCCTGATGACCCAACCGAACTATATTGACTGGAACATATGTTCCTGAAGGTTCTACCATGCTAGGCAGGTCGGTTGAAGAACGATGAGACTAAAAGCAGCTACTCAAGGTCTCAGGGTGAAGTCGTACTGCTGACTATGATGGAGGGGTGTGATAGCAGTAAGGTGTTTCCCTCAGACAACCAGCATCCGCAGTGATGCTGCCTTCTCACAAGGAAGGAAGGGTTAGTAAAGGTCGACCGTAAAAATGTCACACCTCACCCTACCTCATGGATTTCTGTCTCCGTCGGTAAGGGTGCCCACTAAGGGCTTTCAAGAGCCGAGCTAACACTCAAAAAACTTCTCATAAAAAGGCCGTGCGTAACCGGCCTCAAGCAGTTGTCCCTTGGACTCTGCGGTCACGCACCCAGGTCTCCAAGACCAACGCTAATCACCTTCCTTTTCAGGTTCCTCAAGAAACAACCTTCCACGGTGTGAACAGCCGGGAAATGACAACCGCCTTCATACCTGTAACAACAGCACACGAGACCAAACTGACTGACTGACTGACTGACTTCCAAATTTCTAATGTTTCTGTCTACCAATAATCAATTCATTCATGATTCATGATCACAATTAAAACATTTTTGGAAACAAAGAAAAAACAAAACAATTCCACATAATAATAATAATAATCATCTACCTTAGATTGAAACAGTTGACGTTTCTTGATTTGTGATAAACTAGCCAACCGTATATCTGCCATCAATTGTATTGCATCAATGAAATCAAAACATGGCAATAATAATTCACTAAGTGATGATGATTGAACAGATGAATGATTATTATCGTTATTATTAGTATTATCATTATTGTGATGAACAGTGTCCGTATCAACATGAGAATTGAACATTGATTGATTGATTGTGGTTGATTCAATTAATCTACTTGATAGTAAACAATCTGTTTCTGGCACTAAACTAATTAGACGATAGAAATTTAACATGTATTCTCTGAAATTAAAAAGAAAAAAAAGATTTACGGAGATTAATAATAATAATAATAATAATAATAATAGTTTTATACAGTTTTTTTTTATCTACAATCAAAAAGGAAAACTTCACTTATTCTATATACGTTTGACATAAACAGTATGTCAGTCATTAAATGGAAAGGGGAATCATAGTTCAACACTACCAGAGAATAAAGATCAATCAATCAATGCAACAACAGCAACGTAGAACTTCGTACGTAAGTATGTACATCCGAGTTCTGGTTGCCATACTACATTAGCACAGAATTATGATTGTCATTTTAAATCCCATAGTAGTCAAGGTAGTTGAGGTGGTTGGGACATGTGTTACGTATGTCTAACCACCGACTGCCTCGACGAGCTTTGTTTTGTAGTGTAGGAGTAGATTGGAGGAAAGTTAGGGGCGGCCAGATCGAAACATGGCAGAAATCAATGAGGTCATTGACGAATGGACTTAGTCATGTCGGTAATTGTCGACTACCTGGTTGGGGTCCGCGAGATGATAATAATCGATGGTTCGAGACCCTGAATGACATGGCTTAAAACCGTTTGCATTGGCGCCGGTGCATTTATTCTCTGTGTTCTCTCAAATCCTAACATTCTGGATATTTCAACACCTCTAGTTTTGACTTTCTTAACTTATCTCACTGAATCATACTTCTTGAATAATATCTGCTAATCCTAACCTCTCCGATTACTTCTAATTCCCTTACTACCTCTACTACTATTGGATTTGAATTGACAATTATACCTCTGTGCTGATGTGGTATGGCAACATGAACTGATGTACTTACGTACGAAGTTCTACGTTGCATCTGACTGACTGAGTAGAAGTAGTAGCAGTGCTCAAAGAGAGATTAGGGCTTGATGATATTATTCAAGAAGTATAAACATCCAGTGAAATAAACTTAAAAATAAAAAGATAAAGAGGATGAGGAAATCTGAAAGTTAGGATTTGCCAGAACACAAAGAATGAATGCACCTGAGCCATTGCAAACGGTTTTGAGCCATCCAATAAAAACTAGAGAATAAGAGACTTAAAATCGTACGTCTACACATTAAATCGGATACATGATTCATGACTTAGAGATACGACAAACAGAGTAAGTGATAGACAGTATATCATTCTATAACACAATTCAGTTAGTCAGTAAGTCAGCTAAAACATAGAACTTCATACGCACCTACATCAGTTCAAGTTGCTATACCATATCAGCACAGAAAGAAAAGCAATTATCAATTCAAATCCCATCATAGTAGATGTAGTAGAAGTATTCGCGATAATAGAGAGATTAAAGTTCACAGATATTATTCAAGAAGTATAATCATCCAGTGAAATAAATTTAAAAAGAGAAAGATAAAGGTAATGAGGAATTCAGAATTTGAGAGAAGGCCAACAATGGATACACCTGAACCATTGCAAACGGTTTTGAGCCATGTCATTCAGGGTCTCTAACCATCGATTATTATCATCTCGCGGACCCCAACCAGGTAGTCGACAACTACCGACAGGACTCAGTCCACTTGTCAGTGACTTCATGCATTTCTGCCATGTTTTGGTTTGGCCGCCCCTAACTTTCTTCCAGCCTACCGCTACATCATAAAACATCGCTTATCGAGACAGTCGGTAGTTGAGGTAGACGTGAAAAGAATGAACAGCCATTGGATAGAATCGGATAGGAGAACCTAGGACAGAGTAGGTTGGGAGAAAGCCAGTTGACGGACTATGCTCTACACGAGGGATAACAGGGTGTAAATAAGTCAATAATGATATAAATAGAAAATAAAAGAATTACCCACCTAAAACAATAATAATAATAATAATAATAATAATAATAATAATCAACGTATAACTTACGAATTCAATTGAAAATCACTACCCATTATACAACTAAACTGATTTAGATTACCACCAAGAGCAGTGAATAAACCAGTAATGATTGTCGAACAAAATTCACCACGTTGTTTGATTACATCCCATGGAACAGCAGCAGCGCCACCGCCACTACGTAGATGTGCAGAAATATTATTCACTAAGATGATAATCTGTAATTCAAACCAAAACAGAAATGTAACACATGTAAATGAACACATACACAATGAGAAGGAAAAATAGTTCAATTCTGGAATGGACAAGAAGAAGCAATTACGCAATAGGTGTAGAAATATTGATTACATTTCTATGCAGTTACAATTTATTTGTTAAGCATAGATTTATACATACATTGTAGTGAAGGAGAAGAACACAGGTCAGGGCAACCGAATTGTAGTTATGTCAAATTACAGAGTTAATCGGTAAAATAGGAAAAAACCATATCGTAAATCGTTAATATGCAAAACATCAATCCATTGTCTGACATTTCACTACTATTCATGCGTTTCATACACAAATTCCATTGTGTTCTCACTCTTCTTACTTTCTCTTGATCTTCGCCCCCATCTTCTGCTGCCAGACATTACGTTTACACTCGCGTCATATACTACTTATAAGTAGCGCGCACCACAACATGATTTGGAGTATTAACAATCAGAATGTATAAATTGTTATTAGGAAACGTGTTATATTTCTTTCTCCCTTAATAAACCCAACTAATTCCTATTGCTTAGTATTCTGTTTGACAACAAATACACTCGACAAGTCTTCAAATCAGAACATGGTTGAACAGGAATAGAGATTATATTCCAAATAGTAAGGTTCAAATGGAAGTCAGAAGGTCAAAGCGAAAGTGAAATAGGAACAACGTTAGTATCTTTATAGTTTGTTTTTTTCATGAGAAGCTTCTGGAATGTGTATTCCACGTATCGATATTAGCGCTGATCGGATTAGATTTAGCCAATCAGCGTGCAGCTAACGCAGTCATGCTTTAATCCATCTATGTCCCGGCTAACAAAATGGATGGCATATCAATAAATGAAGTAGGGAATCGTCATCAGTTGAGGTGGTTGGGACATGCGTTACATATGCTTGACCACCAACTTCCTCGAAGAGCTGTTTTGTGGTGTAAGGGTAGTCTGGGAGAAAGCTAGGGGCATAGAAACTAAAACATAGCACATATCCGTGAAGATACTGACAAGTGGACTGAGACAGGTTAGTAGGTGTAGACTAGCAGGTCGGGATCTGCGAGACGAGGCCTTGAATGACATGGCTCAGAATCGTTTGCAATGGCGTAGGTGCATTCACTCTTTGTGTTCCCTCAAATTCTAACCTTCTGAATTTCTCATCATCACTATCTTTCTCTTTCTAAAGTTATCTCACTAAACTATGCTGCTTGAAGAATATTTCCAACCCTGATCTTCTCTATTACTGATCATTGTTAGGCCACTATTAGAAGCCTGGAAGCATTGTTTAAGCAGCCATTTCGTCCTGGTATGGGACTCATCAGTGGTAGTGTGCATCCACTACCACCGATCGCGGACCAATGAAACTCAACAATCTTCACAACTCTATAATCAATATCATACAACGTGCTCGTGAGGAACTTCTTGGAGTTCTAGTGAGAAGCATTGACCAACGGAGTACAACCCTGTCGAGTGTAAGCAATAACTACCTCAAAAACAATAAGTGAGTTTGAGCAATACCTCTAGATTGATTAAAGTTAGACATTAACATCGTTGGATACCGGCTTGCGAGACATAATATCCTGGGTTCGAATCCTGCGAGTAGCAGGAGTCATGGATCAGCACTGCTATTGGGGAGTGCCATACTAGGATGAAAAAGCTACCAAGTGTTTCCAGGTTCCTATTGGTGGAATAACAATGATCGATTCATCATTTCAATAAATTATCAGTAGAAGGTGTTGATACCTACGTCACTGATGGCCTGTTCTCACTTCTTATTTCATCCTCCCCCTTAATGTTGAATCATTGTAGTCAACTGAACCAACTGTCATCAATCCATCATTATCGATGTAATCAAAATATTCATTTGATTTATGAAACACAACGTTTTTACTATCTCTACCACTAATGTGGGATTTGAATTGACAATTGCGTCTCCGTGTTAATGTGGTATAGCTACCTGAACTTATGTCCCTTGGACTCTGCAGTCACGCTCCCAGGTCGTTAAGACCAACACTAATCTACCTTCCTTTTCAGGTTCCTCAGGAAACATCCTTCCAAGGTATGGGCAGCCGGGAAGTGACAACCACCGTCATGCACGTAACAGCACGCGAGACCAAATTGGTCAAAATCATGACCTTTTACCCGGAGACACACTTGCTGACTTAGAATATGCCGATGGCATAGTCCTATTCGGTGAAGACGCTGACAAAATGCAGTGTCTTCTGACTACATTAAGCAACAATGCAAGCATGTTTGGGATGCGGTTTTCTCCCTCAAAATGCAAAATGTTGCTTCAAGATTGGGTTGCATCGGCACCGGAACTAGTGATAGGTAGTGAAGTGGTTGAACGTCTAGACCGCTTCACTTATCTGGGGAGTCTCATCAGTGCTGATAGCCTGGTTTGTGACGAAATCTCAGCACAGATACACAAGGCTCGATTGGCTTTTGCCAAGTTGCGTTACCCATGGCTCAGGAGAGATATCCGTTTGCTAACCAGTTGGGGTAGTAACTGATGGTTCGAGACCTTGAATGACATGTCTCAAAATCGTTTGCATTGGTGCAGGTGCATCCACTCTTTGTGTTTTCTGAAATTCTAACCTTCTGAATTCCTCATCATCTCTATGTTTCTCTTTCTAAAGTTATCTTACTGAATTATACTTCTCAAATCATATCTTCGAACCTTGATCTTCTCCATTACCGCTAATACTTCCACTATCTCTACCACTATAGGATTTGAACTGACAATTGCATCTCTCTGTGCTAATGCGGTATACCAACCTGACTGGCTGATGTACTTACATACGAAGTTCAACATTGTAACTGACTGACTGACTGACTTGTGTACCGGCAAATATGTCAAGTTCTTTAAGTGGCAATAAATGTGAACATTTGAATAGAATTAAAAAAACAACGAAGTGTAGCCTTACATAAACTCCATTTAAATGAGATAAACGTGCAAATGATCGAATCGGAATGGAATGACCAAGATGTGGTAAGCCAATTGGTGTAATCGACCATAAACATCGTAAACAACCGTTAGCCGTTGTTTGATTGACACGTTTCTCCAACAATGGTTTACATCCCTGCAATAAAAGGAGAAATATAAAACTCTTTTTTAAGAATAAGATTTGAATTTAAAAAATATTTTCTGATTTATATATTTGTACAACCTATTAACTTCTGGGCAGCATCACCGATAATCAAGGTGGATCCGATGCAGATGTGAGGGCGCGGATTGGTAAAGCAAGGGCTGCATTTCTACAATTGTAAAATATCTGGAATTCCAAACAAATATCAATCAACACCAAAATCAGGATTTTCAATACAAAAGGTCAGGACAGTTCTACTGTATGGAGCGGAAACATGGAGAACTATGAAAGCTATCATCCATAAGATACAAGTGTTTGTTAACAGTTGTCTACACAAAATACTTCGAATTCGTTGGCCAGACACCATCAGCAACAACGAACTGTAGGGGAGAACAAACCAGACTCTAACGGAGGAGGAACTTAGGAAGAAGAGGTGGGAGTGGATAGGACACACATTACGAAAAGCACCTAACTGCGTCACAAGACAAGCCCTCACATGGTACCCTCAAGGTAAAAGGAAAAGAGGAAGGCGAAGGAACACAGTATGACGAGAAATAGAGAAGAATGAACAAAAATTGGACAGAATTGGAAAGGGAAGCCCAGGACAGAGTTGGTTGGAGAAGACTGATCGGCGGCCTTTACTCCATTGGGGGTGACAGGCGTAAGTAAGCAACTTATTTACTAGATACAGGACTTAATTTATGTGATGTTGTCTCCTATAGTTACAGTCTAAATTTCAAAAAGAGCTAACTATACTACTCGATTGTACAAACAAAACTACTTATACACGAGTTGGGATTCGAATAGGTCTCGTGTGCTTTTATAGGTATGAGGGCGGATGTTATTTTCCGGCTGCCAAAGTTCTAATGAGAAGCTATAACCAATAGAGTTCAATCATGTCTGGTGTGTGGTAGCAATTAGTTGACATCCAATGATATTGAAAAATGATTCGACTAAATTGAATTAAGCCAGAATTATAAACCATTGGATTTTAATTAGGACATGTATTACAAATGCCCAACCATTGACTGCTTTGACGAGAGATGTTGTCTGATGTACGGAGGGTGTAGGAAGGATTTGATTTTGACCGATTTGGTCTCGTGTGCTGTTGTTACGGGTATGAGGGCGGTTGTCACTTTCCGGCTGCCCACACCGTGGAAGGGTGTTTCTTGAGAAACCTTAAAAGGAAGGTAGATTAGTGTTGGTCTTAACGACCTGGGAGCGTGACTGCAGAGCCCAAGGGACTACTGCTTGAGGCCGGTCACGCACAGCCTTTCTATGAGAAGTTTTTTGAGTGTTAGCTCCGCTCTTGAAAGCCATTAGTGGGTACCCTTACCCAAGGAGATGGAAATCCGTGAGGTAGGGTGAGGTGTGACATTTTTAGGGTCGACCCTTTCTAACCCTTCCTTCCTTGTGAGAAGGCAGCATCGATGCAGATGCTGGTTGTCCGAGGGAAACACCTTACTGCTGTCACACCTCTCTGCAGTCTTCGTCGTCAGACCTTGAGTAGCTGCTTTTATTCTGATCGTTCTTCAATCGACCTGCCTGGTATGGTAGAACCTTCAGGAACATATGTTCCAGCCAAAATAGCTCGGTTGGGTGATCACGATAGACAAGCCCGACCACCACGTCAAGGTAGCAGCTTCAGTCGGGGATGTACGGGGTTAGTAGGAAGAAAGCACGGGGTGACCAGACCAAACCATGGCACAAATCCATCAAGTCACTGACAACAGGACTGAGCCTTGTTAGTAGGTGTACATTACCTGATTTGGAGACTTTGAAAATGACATGGCTCAAAAACGTTTGTAATAACGCCGGAGCATCCATTAGTCGTGTTCTCACAACAGATTCTCTAATCTTCTGAATTTATCCACACCTATATCTTTCTCCTTTTAAATTCATTTTACTGGATTATACTTCTCGACTCGTATCTATCTTCTAAACCCTAATTATCTCGATCACAGTTAACACTACGGGATTTACATTGACAAATGCATCTCTCTCTCTCTGTGCTAATATAGTATGACAATTTGAACTGAGGTACACACACGTACCAAGTTATACATTATAGCTGATTAACTGGATTCTAATTAGTTATGAGATGTGAAGAGGTTAGATACGTTTCCTAGTGAGATTATTGGATATGTATTGTGGTATGAAGTCACATACTTAGATGAAACAGTTGTCCAGTGCCTACGCGTAGTTCTGAATGGTTGTCGATTATAATAATTTTTGAAACCATGAATGGATCAATGTTAGACCAACACCATTAGAAACCTGGAAGCACTGGACGGCCGTTTCGTTCTGGTATGACATTCATCAGCAGTGCGCATCCACGACTCCTGCACCCCGCAAGATTCGAACCAAGGACCTTCGGTATTGTAGGCGAACGCCTAATCATCGGACCATTGAGCCGGAATATTGATCAGAATGAATTCAAGGATTATAGGATAAAAAAAATAAAATAAAACAGCTACAGAGGGTTTTGAGATTACCACAAATTCTTTTTCAAATGTATCCAACAAAGTTGACCGATCTGTAATTTTTGGTATGGAATTGACTCGGTTATCAATTTCCCGTAGAATAGATTTTTCAGTTGTAAACACAGTTGGAACTTCTTCAGCGCCTAAATTGAAAATACAAATAGATGATGGTTTATAGCAATACTGCGTAAAGATGACAAATCGATTGATAAAGTAATACATTTTTATCAGCTGAATTGGGTTATAGGACATGTGGTATAATATGTCCAATTACCACTTACCTCGATGAATGATATTGTTTGGTATGGGAGCAAGCTGAAAGAAACGGGTAGTAGGTAAGGGTGGCAGATCAATATATGAAGTGAGTTTTTATCAGTTGAGGCGGTTGCGTACGCCTAACCACCGAGTGCCTCGACGAGCTATGTTTTGCGATGTAGGAATAGGTTGGGAGAAACCAAAACATGGCACAAATCCATGAAGTCATTGACAAGTGTGGACTGAGTCATGTCGGTAGGTGTCGACTACTTGGTTGGGGTCCGTGAGATGATAGTAATCGATGGTTAGAGACCCTGAATGACATGGCTCACCACTGTTTGCAATGGTGCAGGTGCATTCATTCTTTGTGTTCTCTCAAATCCTCTGGATTCTTCATCACCTTTATCTTTCTCTTTTTTAAGTTTATTTCACTAGATTCTACTTCTTGAATAATATCTTCGACCGCTAATCTCTCCGATTACTGCTAACACTTCTACTACCTCTACTACTATGGGATTTGAAGTGACAATTGCATCTCTGTGCTAATGTGGTACGGCAACTTATGTACGCACGTACGAAGTTGTTGACTGACTAACTGAAGCCAAAAGAAAACTAGGAGTGGTCAAACCATGACATGAAGCTCCAGTGCATGTAGCTGTTGACAACTCGACTGAGACATGATACTAGGCGTAAGCTACATATACTTGAAATCTGTGTGTTAATCGTAACCATTGGTTAGAGACTATGAGTAACATGGATGAAAATAGTTCACAACAGCGCAGATGTATGCATTTGTTTGTCTTGCCCCAATTTTCAAGCTTCTGAATTCATCATGACTTTTTTTCTATCCCATTAACTTTTTTTCCGATCGTAACTTTCATAAATGATCCTTCATATTACCATTAATACTATTACTAGCTTTACTACTGTGGGATTTGGTTTGAAAACTTCATCTCTCTCTCTCTCTAGACCGACCAGGTACAAAGTTCTACGTTGCAATCGATTGATTGACTGATACCAGTTGGTAAAATAAAAGTTTGGATGTGATTGAGTGGCAATCAATGTTAAAATTTCACCTTACAACTAGTGCGTGTGTACTTGGGTTTCTATATTCAACTCCCGCTCAGAAAGAAACCTCATTTTTAAAAAGAATCCGTATTTATTGTACGTCACGCTATGTTATCGATTGCAATCATCAGAGTAAGTCATTTTACAGCTGAAATATACTTTATTCAGTATCAAAACTGGAGATTAGATAGTATGATTATATGTTATCACATAGTAGTATGTGAACCATTTTTCGTCAGTCCACGATTCACAACACGTTCACTGGGATGTGTGATAAGAGTATGCGTTAAGATATTCATCCAATATCCTAAGAGAATTATTGGTTGATTCCTATTGGTAAAGTACAACTGGTCAATTTTATGGTTGTCCTAGGTATCAATGTCACGTGCTCCAATGTTGTTTCTTATTGGTCGTCCGGACTGTCAATGTCATTTCAAATGTTGCTTTCTATTGGTCGTCCTAAACTGTCAATGTCACAGACTTCGATACTCTTTCCTATTCGACCTAAATGTATAAATACGCATTATCTGTAAAGCTTTGTATTCCGTTCCTTCCTGCCTTCCTCTCTACTGTACTCGACCCATTAAACAACTTCATCTAACGGCGTTGTGTTCTGATATACAGGAGATTGGGAATAGTATTTCGGTCGTATTGGAATATTTGAATTCGGACGTCGATAGGATTCAATAGCTACGTAGCAGTATTATAAGAGTATGAAACCGAATACGAATACGATTGAAATTCAAATATTTTTAGACATGCACACCCATTAAACTGTGATCTATCATAGTCTCGTTAAAAAGAGTTATTAAGAAATTTATTTTAATGCCACATAAAACGTTATAATCATGGCATCGAATGACATGGTTAAAACATGTATTACACAACATCAAACACCGCTTATGTTTTGACAAACGATGTTTGCCAGTGTGACGGTAGGTTAGAATAAAGATAAACGCGAACAAACTGAAATGTGGTATCCGCCTACGAAACAACTGACAACTAATCTGAGCCATATTGTTATAAGTGTAGAATACCACCTGGCTGAGGTTTGTGCTGTTGTCGTAACCAGTGATTGAAAACGATAAACAACATGGCTTGGAATCGATTGCCACGGTGCAGAAACACTCACTTTTATTGCCTTAAAATATACATAGATTTTATTCCGTAAATGTGTTCATTCTAATTGAATCATCTTGCTTTTTACTCCCACTATCGTTACAGTAGTAGGAAAAAACGATCTCCATAATACCATTAGGGAAAATCGAGAAATATGCTCACTAGTGATTAGCTTCGTGAGGAAATTGTCGGAGTTCTAGTGAGAAGACGTGACCAGTGGAATTCAACCCTGTCAAGTGTAGGCAGTAAGTCACGCGAAATCCCTAGATTGATCAGAGTTCGACACTAACGCCGTTGGATGCTGCCAGCTCAGTGGTACAGAGGTTAAAAGTTTGCGCTGAAGACCGAAGGTCCTGAGTCCGAATCATGTGAGTAGCCGGAGTCATAGATGTGCACTGCTAATGAGTCCCATACCAGGACGAAACGGCCGTCCAGTGTTTCCAGGTTTCTAATGGTGGTCTGACAATGATTCACTCATGATATTAATATGTAGAAACAACGATCTTCATAATACTATAAAGCAAGAGCTTTAGCATTCATCTTGATGATAATTTCTCACTGTACTGTTATAGTTCAGCGACTTGGACGAATGCAAATATGTGCAAAGTTCTACACTGATCGATTCGGTAGTCATGTAGAGGTGAATAAATCTCGTGAATAGATACTTTTGTAAGCCTTAGACATTGATGCTAACCTCGTTAGCCTTGATGAACATATCCTAACTGAAGGCGATCAGTCATGTAAACGCATCAGATCATCATTAGATACTGTTTGCTACGTATCCTTCCACACCAACTAGCAAGTTTAGTTCATTCACTCTTCAGTATTCTAAATATTGTTAAAGTAAACCTTCGATCTATTTCACTAATTTTTAGTATATTTACTTGGCACAAAGGTTCACCTTCATTTTGATACAACACACAAATTAACGAAACAGATAGTTTCTTACGAGGTCACTCATCGAGTCGTTCACCCAAAAGTCTAGTCCACAAAGCAGAAGAGTAACATTAGGAAATGTAGTCCTATGACTGTCAGTTACCGACACGTGCACCACTGGTTTAAAATCACGGTTTTCTAACCTTTCTAGATAAATCTTTTGTATCCACTGACCAACTTAAGTGCTGCGCTGGACATTTACTTTTTATCCTCAATCTCGTAAACTGCCACCTCTGCCACAAGAAGGCAGTGAGTGGGGGGGACTTCTTTGACAATGACTATCTATGCGGGGTTGTTATATGAGAGCATTTCGAAAGAGAGAGCACAAACTCTTCTTACTCTCCGTTGTACCATGGCGTTTCGGGCGACGGGGAAGGGGACTCGATCTTTCCTATTCTCTACCACTTCTTCGGTCAGATCAATATTAATCTGAACGATACTTTTTAAAAAAACACAATCAACTTACCTGAAACATTCATTGAACTATCGCCATTAGCTATAATTGATGGATAAGCATTTGTGACAAGTTGTTGTAGTGTTACATCTTGAAAATCATTTTGAATTGTAGATAATAAACCATTTAAACAATCAGTGACAACAGATTTTAATGCATTGGATGTGATTTTATTCAGAAGATAATCTTTTTCAACTTGATCAAAATTAAAATATGGTCGTGGAGTTTGTGGAATTGATAAACCTGTTGAAGGTGAAAACAAATTGCTTATCGATCGGTTTCAAAAAGGTGAGGAAAAAGAAACAAAGAAATTTAATTACAAATAATTCTGTATTAGTTAGTTAGTTAGTTAGTTACAACGTTGAACTTCGTACGTACGTATGTCAGTTCAGGTTGCCATACCGCATTAGCACAGAGGGACGCAACTGTTACTTCAAATCAAATAGTGGTAGAGATAGTGGAAGTATTAGCGGCAATTAAAAAAATTAGGGTTCAAAGACATGATTCAAGAAGTATAATTCAGTGAGATAGCTTTAGAAAGAGAAGGTATAGGTGATGAAGAGTTCAGATGATTAGAATTTGAGAGAAGACACAGAATGGATACACCTGCACCATTGCAAACGATTTTGAGCCATGTCATTCAAGATCTCTAACCATCGATTATTATCATCTCGCGGACCCCAACCAGGTAACCTACATCTACCAACATGACTCCGCATTTCTGCCATGTTTTGGTCTGGCTGCCCCTAGCTTTCTTCCAACCTACTCCTACATCACAAAACATAGCTCGTCGAGGCAGTCGGTGGTTAGGCATTCGTAACACATGCTCCAACCACCTCAATTAATGAAGTTTCGCCACTTCATCTACTGATCTGCCATCCTTACCTAGTACTCGTTTCTTAACGACAGCATAGCTTACTCGGTTGTCCCACGGTATACGAGCAATGCTTCGAAGACACCTATGATCGAAAACAAGTAACCTACGAATATCTTCTACTCTGACTGGCCATGTTTCACAGCCATATAGGAGAACGGAGCGAACTGCTGCACAGTACACTCGTCCTTTGGTTAACAAACGGATATCACGCCTACGCCATAAGTGACGCAGGTTGGCAAAAGCCAATCGAGCCTTCTGTATCCGAGTTGAGATTTCGTCAGTCACCAGACCATCAGCACTGATGAAACTCCCCAGATAAGTGAAGTGGTCAATACGCTCAACTACTTCACTCCCTATTACTAGTTTAGGTACTGATGCGACCCAATCTTGAAGCAACATTTTGCATTTCGAGGGGGAAAACCGCATCTCAAACATGCTTGCATGGCTGCTTAGGGTAGTCAGAAGACTCTGCATTTTGTCAGCGTCTTCACCCAATAGGACTATGTCATCAGCATATTCTAAGTCAGCAAGCGTGTGTCCGGGTAAAAGGTTTTGATTTTGACCAATTTGGTCTTGCGAGCTGTTACGGGCATGACGGTGGGTGTCACTTCCCGGCTGCCCACACCGTGGAAGGTTGCTTCTTGAGGAACCTAAAAAGGAAGGTAGATTAGTGTTGGTCTTAACGACCTGGGAGCGTGACCGCAGAGTCCAAGGGACATAAGTTAAGGCAGCTATACCACATTAGCACAGAAACGCATTTGTCAATTCAAATCCCACCTAATCGTAGAGACAGCAAAAACATTGCGTTTCATAAATCAAATGAATATTTCGATTAAATTGATAATGATGGATTGATGACAGTTGGTTTGGTTGACTACAATGATTCCACATTAGGGGAGAGGATGAAATAAGAAGTGAGAACAGGCCATCAGTGACGTAGGTATCAACACCTCCTACTGATATTTTATTGAAATCATGAATCAATCGTTGTTATTCCACCAATAGGAACCTGGAAACACTGGATAGCTATCTCATCCTAGTATGGCATTCCCCAATAGCAGTGCTCATCCATGAATCCTGCTAATCGCAGGATTCGAACACAGGATATTAGGTCTCGCAAGCCGGTATCCAACGATGTTATTGCTCAAACTCACTCGTTGTTTTTGCGGCAGTTACAGCTTACACTCGACAGAGTTGAACTCCATTGGTCAATGCTTCTCACTAGAACTCCGAGAAGTTCCTGACGAGCGCGTTGTATGATATTCATTATAGAGTTATGAAGATTGGTGAGTTTCATTGATCCGCGATCGGTGATATTGGATGCGCACTACCACTGATGAGTCCCATACCAGGACGAAACAGCCCCTTAAGCAATGCTTTCAGGTTTTTAATAGTGGCCTAGCAATGATCAATTTATGCCTTTCTATTATTTTCTCAATAGTCAGGGTGGATGGATTGAGAGGTTTGAATGTCACAGCGCGAGTTTTGTTGAAAAGTATTTCATAAGGTATCCATTAACTGAGTTGATATCCTGATTTATGTAGCTGTATGCGAAGTACAACATTGATCATATAGGTTGAGATGAAGCAACTAGTCTAGATTACATGTTGAAAAAAAGGATTGATCCTTAATGATTTGCTGCTTTCAGTGTTTAAAAGCTTGTCTTCAACAAAGTTTCATACCAGTTATATTGTTTTCATTAAGGCGTATATGTAATTTTCTAGGTAGCCCATGCTCTTCAAAGGGATTCGAACCCAGCTCCACAAGCATTACGGCTAACCGACTTTCTAGCATAGCTGTTACCTGATAATTTCCCCCAGTTAACAAGTAGTCAAACATAGATGCCAAATACTAAATTAAAAAGGACTGTTAAATTTGCAATAAATAAAAGAACAAACTAATTTCAACAAATTAGTTGTTTTGGTTGGAGTCCGCAAAACGAAAGTCGCCGACAGTTAGAGACCCTGAATGTGACATGGCTCAAAATCGTTTGCAATGGCGCAGATGCGTTTATTCTTTGTGTTCTCTCAAATCTTAATCTTCTGGATTCTTCAACACCTCTAGTTTTGACTTTCTAAACTTATTTCACTGAATCATACTTCTTGAAAAGTATCTTCTAATCCTAACCTCTCCGATTACTTCTAATATCTTAACTACCTCTACTACTATTGGATTTGAATTGACAATTATATCTCTGTGTGATAATTTGGTATGGCAACATGAACTGATGTACTTACGTACGAAGTTCTACATTGCATCTGACTGACTCATCATCTCTATCTTTCTCTTTCTAAAGTTATCTCACTGAATTATACTTCTCGAATCATATCTTCGAACCATAATCGTCTCCATTACTGCTAATAGTTCTACTTTCTCTACCACTATTGGATTTAAACTAACAGTTGCGTCTCTGTGCTAATGCGGTATGACAACCTGAACTCTGATGTACTCATGTACGAAGTTCGACGTTGTAACTGACTGACTGACTGATTGACTGAATTTCAACAAAAAGAGGAAAAAATCAAAAAATTACCTGTTCTCAATGGTACTAAAGGAAATATTACATATTTTAAAAATGCCAACAATCCATTGCCTTGTTCAGCTGTCATATTCGGTGGACAAATAGATGATGCCAATTTATTGGTGACTAATTCAGGTGGATCAAGTAGATCAATTTTGGAGTCGATTTCTGATGAAGACATTTTTCCTCCAGTTAATCCAGGAACCATTGGATTCATGAGGTGTATTCGTTTCTTATGACCAAGATGAGGTAAATACTAAGAGAAATGTGATAAAAGTGAATGAAATCTTTAAAACATAATTGAAAATAATGTTAGTAAACACGTACTAGATAAGAATGGTAGATCAAGTGATGAAATAGTGAAACTTCATCGGTTGAGAGGTGGTTTGGACATGTGTTATGTATGCATAATCACCGACTACCTCGACGAGCTACGTTTTGTAGTGTAGGGGTAGGCTGGAAGAAAGCTAACGGCGGCCAGACCAAAACATGGCACAAATTCATCAAGTCATTGACAAGTGAACTGGACCGTGTAAGTAGGGATAGACTACCTGTGGTTAGGGTCCACAAGATGATAGTAATCAATGGTTAGAGACATTGAATGGCATGGCTCAAAACTGTTTGCAATGGTGCAGGTTCATTCATTATTCTTTTTGATTGGTATTTTGTTTTGTCACGTGATATTACTCCATGGTTAAGGACACACTTTTAAAAAAATCAAACCAAAACTTCCACACTGTTAGGATATTCACCAAATATCCTAAGAGTACTATTTTTGGAAGTATAATCCTATTGGTCGATTTCTATTGGTCAAGAAATTATGGTCGTTTTAAACTGTCAAAGTCAAATACTTCAATCTTGTCTCTGATTGGTCATCCGAACTGTCAATGTCATTTCAAATGTTCTTTCCTATTGGTCATCGTCCTAAACTGTCAATAATGTCACAGACTTTGTTTGATGCTCTTTCCTATTTGACCTAAATGTATATAAATACGCACTATATGTGTAAAAGACTTCATGATTCCGATTCCGTTTCTTCCTGCCTACCTCCTCTTTTCTGTACTCGACCTAATAAACAACTCCATTCAACGGTGTCACGTCCTGATATATAGGAGGTTTGGCAAGAGTATTTTCGATCGTACTAGGTAAGATAGTTGAATTTGGACGCCGCTAGGACTGAATAGCTAGCTATACATAGCAGCATTATAACACATACACAGACACACAGAAAACAAAACACCTTCTAAATAATTTAATTTTTATAATTCTTACTTTGAATTACTTACTTTTTCAGCTAACATAAATATTTTACGTTGATCTACACCACCGAATTGTATGTCAACATTTAAATGTACTTCATCTAATGCTTGTAATAATGGATATAATAATCCTGATACAAGTGGATTATTAACTTGTTTTACAACTTCTGCACCAGCTTTACGTGCATCATGAATTGATGTTAAAGTCATTAGACGATATACATCGATAGAATATGCTCTAAGATAATAATAAATAATAATAATGATAAAATAATTTTATTTATTGATTGATTCTTAATCTGGTTTATATATCAAAATCATTATCAACAGCAACGTAGAACTACTTTGCACGTAAGTATATCAGTTCAAGTTGACATACCCCACATTAACACACAGAGATGTATTTATCAATTCATATGCCGATGACATAGTCCCACTTGGTGAAGACGCTGACAAAATGCAGAATCTTCTGACTACTCTGAGCAACAATGCAAGCATGTTCGGGATGTGGTTTTCCCCCGCCGAAATGCAAAAAGTTGTTTCGAAATTGAGTCACATCAGTACCTAAACAAGTAATAGGGAGTGAAGTAGTAAAGCGTGTTGACCACTTCACTTATCTTGGAAGTCTCATTACTGCCGATGGCTTGGAGACTGACGAAATCTCAACACGGATACAGAAAGCTCGATTGGCTTTTGCCAACTTGCGTCACTTATGGTGCAGGCAAGATATCCGTTTGCTGACTAAAGGACGAGTGTACTGTGCAGTAGATCACTCCGTCTTACTTTATGGCTGTGAAACATGGCCAATGAGAGTAGAAGATATTCCTAGGTTACTTGTTTTCGATCATAGGTGTCTCCGAAGCATTGCTCGAGTATCGTGGGACACCCGAGTGAGTAATGCTGTTCTTGGGAAACAGGTGCTAGGTAAGAATGGCGAATCAACAGATGAAGTGGTGAAACTTCATGAGTTGAGGTGGTTGGGACATGTGTTACGTATGCCAAACCACTGACTGCCTCGTCGAGCTACGGTTTGCGGTGTAGGAATAGGTTGGACTAAAGCTAGGGGCGGCCACACCAAAACACGGCTTAAATCCATGAAGTCACTGACAAGTAGACTGAGTCATGTTGGTAGATGTAGGCTACCTGCTTGGGGTCCGCGAGATGATAATAATCGATGGTTAGAGACGCTGAATGACATGGCTCAAAATGGTTTGCAATGGCGCAAGTGCAATTACTCGTTGTGTTCTATGAAATTCTAACCTTCTGAACTAATCATCACCTCTATCTTTCTCTTTCTAAATTTACCTCACTGAATTATACTTGTTGAATAACATCTTCGAACCCGAATCTCTCCGATTACTTTTAATGCTTTTACTACCTCTACTACTATAGGATTTGAATTGACAATTGCGTCTCTGTGCTAATGTGGTATGGCAAATTGAACGGATGTACTTACATAGGAAGTTCTACGTTGCTGTTGATGATGAACTGTCCATTCAAATCCCATAGTAGTAGTGGTAGTAAAAGTATTAGCAGTAATTGGAGAGATTATGGTTTGCAGATATTTAAAAAGTATAACTCAGGGAGGTAAATTTAGAGAGAGAAAGGTAGAGGTGATGAGGGATTCAGAAGTTTAGGATTTGAGAACATAAAGATCGTATGCATCATTGCCACTGCTTTATATATATATATATATATGTATATATATATATATATATATATATATATATATATACTCGATTTCGATAAATTGCATGTCTAGTTGCTTGTTACGCCTATCAGAAAGAATGTCAATCTTGTGTGCTGTCACGGGTATGAGCGCCGATGTTACCTCCCGGCCGCCCATACCGTGGAAGGGTATTTCTTCATGAACCTAAAAAGAAAATCGGATTAGCGGTGGTCCGAACGACCTGGGAGCATGACCGCAGAGCCCAAGGGACAACTGCTTCAGGTTGGTCACGCACGGCTTTTTTATGGTGTTTGCTCCGCTCTTTAAGTATCCTTACCGCCGGTGACGGAAATCCGTGAGGTAAGGTGAGGTGTGACAATTTTAGGGTCAACATTACCTAACCCCTTCCTTCCTTGTGAGAAAGCAGCATCGCTGAAGATGCTAGTTGTCCGAGGGAACTCACAGCCCTCTATAGTCAGTAGAACGACTTCTCCCCCAAATCTTGAGTTGCTGCTGCTAATTTCCGTTCTTTAATTGACCTGCCTAGCATGGTAGAACCTAAAGCAACACACGTCCCAGCCAATGTAGCTCGGTCGGGTGATCACCATAGGCAAACCTGACCACCACATCAAGGTAGTAGCTACAGTCTGGTCAGAGAGAATGAGGAAAGCACTTAAATATGATGAGTACATTTTATACCATAGGCTAGGGTTTGAGACTTAGAATAGAAAGTTATACATGAATTGTTTTTTTAGAGATGTATTGTCAATTTCCCATCTATTTATTTTATAGTGAGAACAAAAGATAGTAGGCAGTTGTTCACTCTAATTGTAAAAGTATAAAAACACTCAAATGATGAAGAAAATTTACTTAGAAACGAAATCGATCGCAGGATTAAAAAACGTATCATACAGAGCTAAGTGACCAAAATGTAGAGGGGAATATGAAGAAAACCCCGGAAAACTATAGTTAATACAAGATAAATTTGAAGCAAGAATAGAGTCCTATGAAAACTGCATTTTAATGTTTATGAAACAGGCTGCATAGAGACTGCCGTTAACTGTTGTTCTGAGTCATATCTACAAGTCACACTTGGACGACATGTGATTAGAGCGGTTTATTTGCCGTCATACAGAAATACAATACTGTCTAAATACACAAAATTGAAGCATTCATCCATATGACATTCACAAAACTGTTATTTAACTTATTCAGACCTGTTTTCACAAAGTTATGTATGCTATACCATTGAGACGAAAACATGGTTCTAAAACAAATACAATTCACAAAATTTAGAATTCAAAACTGAAATATCCTGGCTTGTAGTACCAGATCATACTTACTCAGTTAACTGATAATCCGCTCCACGTATAAAATGTAGTCGATCTAATGGAACACAAATTGAACGGAACATTCCTTTTATAACAGCTTCATAATATTTGGTACGAAGACAAAGTAAAGACCATGGAGCTTTCATATTGTCTAGATATGCATGTAAGTCAGCGAACAATACAGTGACTTTTGCACCTGCTTGTAGCATATCAGCTAATTTAATAATTGGGACGAAATAGGCTATATGCGGTCTACCAGTTGTTGCAGTACCCCAATACACAGATACTGATGAATTTGGTTTCTTTAACAATTCTTGAAGTTCATCATCACCTACTACCTCCTAACATGTAAATGAAAAACATAAATGAAATATGAAAATAATTTAAATAAAAATCACTGAAATAAGATGAATAAGTCTATGGAATATTTTGCTGAAGGTCAAAAGTTAGTCTTAATATTTTTTAAACTAATATTAGTTTGTGCATGTATTCATAATAATAATAGCAAACCTGCATCCCAAGGAATATGTACAGTTTTATACACGAGTAGTAAAGACTAACCTGCAAATTCCGGACAATTAACGTATATTTATCTGTTTCCATACCAGGATAAATTTTCAATGTTTGAGTATTAACAAGATGGTTGACGTACGAATGAGGAATAAAGTGAGGATTTTGGAAATTCACACTTTTAGCAGACTATAAACAAGTGATCATTCTAATTGATAAACAAAGAAAGATTAAAAAATCAGGATAGTTAATAACTTATCTTAATATAAAGGAGCAACGATCAGAATTTTGAAACAAACGAACAGGTCTGTAAAAGGGTTATTTTATGGTTTTGAACGACAATTTCTAGCGATTAAAGACACTTGATCTAAGGACAATTTACACGTCTGCTGACGATAAAGTCTTCAAAGTATTACCTTGCATAAAACAAAATGTCTTTCTAAAACACCATGTATGATGAACCACGACAAGACAACAAGCCGCGTGACTTTACACACAAGCCAGAAATATCATGTGATGTTACTTTGGAATATTATATTGATATCCGAAGCTAATGTTGTGACACAAAACAACATACAAGTGCCAACAAAGTGCGATCAGTCAGTCAGCAACAACGAAGAACTTGAACTTGATACATATGTACATCAAATTAAGTTGCCATATAACATTAGCACAGAGAAAGTGAATTGTCAGGTCAAATCCCATATTGATAAAGGTTTCAGCAGTATATAATCCAAAACATGGATTTATGGACACGAAATTTTTCCGTGATATCGAAGAATATTTGAACGATTCTACTTGCAAACACAAGTAACCAAGTAAAAGGAGTAGTATTTCAATCCCCACCGCCCGACTTTGGATTATAACGAGTTAAATTCCACCAAAATGTTTATTGATAACCTCCCAAAAAATTCATCAAATTTCCCAAAAGACGTGAGATGTGGATAAAAAAAATTCTGACCGCAGTGTTTAGAATACAAATTCTGACACTTCGTAAGGGAAAAGAAATATCCTGGTTTACTAGCATCGTTTGTCGAGCTTTACTTCCAGGATAAATTCGCATTAGCAAAACTTTCTATCCAGGAACCAGTCATCACATAATATCAATCATACGATAATTAACACAGCTACAGCAGTTATCACTCTTAAACTTGAGTTGGCACTAGCTTGCCTGCTATAACTCCTAAGACCTGCCTGAGCACAATATGCAGATTACGCAGGTGGGAAGTGCGTAACGACGTTACCGAATCCCCGCCTTGCTCTTCCGATATTCAATATCAAGCATGTTCCTCAAGAATAAACCAGTTGATTTCTTTGCCGTTTCTCCTTGTTGTTTTGGTATGAATCGTTTTATTTCGCAGTTCCCCGTAGATGGTATTACAGCCATTCGACTGTATTAATTCTAGTTAGTTTACTTTTATCTATGAATTTGGATATCTTGAGATGTGGGTGCGTTTGTCTCAGAGATATCGCATTTCTAGATATCAGCAGCTCTCACATCATCAGGCTGGAGATCAGTTAGTCGCACTGTGCTAGCATCAAGTAAAAGACTAATATTTCATTAAAAGTTGATATAAAATTTTGAAGATAGAGTGGACACCTTTTGCTAGTATACTGATTCAGGATCACAGAGCCTATGTTGTCACATCCTTAAGACCTTGATGGACTCAGTGATTCACGTTTCATTAGTACCAACCTGGCTAGTAGGTCGGGAACCTATAGGCTATCAGCACTTAAGTTGAGTGAGGCCATTTCAACTTTTGAGAAATTAGACACCCTTTTTTCACGAACCTAAGGAGATATTTCGGGTTTGCTTGTTTCATAGCTTCTAGGTTTGTCTGGAATGGTGGCAACTGTAGGCCTGATAACCCGAAATGGCTCGTTTAGTTAGCCTTAACACACTGGTTAATTAGTCCGACTCCCCTTTGGTTGGAGATAACAGAAAACGTAGTGATTAAACGAATGGGAGTTTCGAAAAGCTTAAATGTCCCATTCCTCTGTACCTAACTTGCATCTCTGCTACATCTAAGCAAACAGAATCCTATGATTAATCTTACTGTGGTTTAATTTATTCCCTTCGAAAATTCGATCCGACAAATAATTTGTCATCCGAATTTTTCTTCGAACACTGTCAGGATGTTTTCGTCCTTCAGTGACCGTATCCAACTACATTAGTTAACGAACAAACTACTTCGGATGAAATGAAATAATTTAAGGGAATGGATTGGTGTGTTTCTAACAAACCGAAGTAGTACAATACCTTACATTTCATATTTAACGAACTGTGGCCTGAATTCATGTGGTATCTTGGCATGAAGTCGGCCGAATTATTCGGATTCGTGGATAGCTTGTTACTTATGGATGGCTACGAAGAGAAATTCTCCGCTGACAGACGCATTCATAATTACGAACTTTTAGACGTTGACTGAAAACGATTTGTAAGGGAGATGTCAGTATTTTAGCGAAGTAACTTTAAGGATCTAAAACTCTTGTAGAAGAAGCTGGTGATGCTAAAATCTATGCACCCACATGCCACGTCACCTACGCAAGCTAATGGCTAACCATAGTTCACATAAATATACCTATATCACTGATAGGTAATGGTTTCACTCAAAGAACTTTAGCGCTAACGTTTAGACGAAATCTAATTTTACCGTTTTCTATCTCTGCAGTTATTCCAGGTTTATCTACAACTATCGATATATTGCCCGACTTTGATAACATACGCCTAGTATAGGTGTAAGCTATTGCTTGTTTCTTTACATCGTCGTTATCTTTTGTTTCTGGATTATCAGTCGAATTGCAGTCTGGTCGCCGACTAATGAGTAACAGAGATGTAACAGATGTAACAGAGATTAAAATTTTTAGGTGTTCTACTTTTTATCTCATTCTACCTTTGGCTGTACGTAATGATATAAAAGCCGAAAGTATTCGATAAGTTAGCAGTTGCTCTATGCTTGTCATAAGGTTTTTGACTCCAACTTTCATGGTGAACTATTTGCGTTAAATAAAGAATAGAGAACTGATAGTCCGCATAGGATGACTTTCAAACTACTTTTGAGATGCTGTTACACTAATACACCTAAGCCTAATTTGAAAGATATGGAAGATGTCACGTATATTTGGGATTTGTTGTCACTACTGTATACTTTAGCATATAATCTTCAAATTTATCCTGTACGTAGACATGTCCTCGAAAAATCCTTCCCTCTGAGGGTAAAAAGAGAATTTGTCTACCTTTTTGGTCGCTTAGGAATAATAACAATGATCATAATGACTTTGTTCAATACTAAATGTTTGGTGAAATATAGAATTCTCAGCAAAACAACTGGAGATCGACATTTGGAAGGAAGCTGTTAGGGAATCTACATCTTGTAGATGTTCTTGTCTAAGACTATGAACATGTCTACAAAGCAATTGCGTTCGGGCCTCAAGCATTGTTGTTTTAACAAAACAAAGACTGGAAAGTCCAGATGAACAAAGTGTATTTGCTGGCGATTTTGTGGTCTCACAAGAATACCGAAACATGCCAGAGACTTTGGCATATGTAAAGAGCAACAAAAGCAAAGTGGCGACCGCGCGAGTAAGGACAGCGAGTCACAAACAGTACATATAAGCAAAATGTTCGGTAAAACGTTCAGTAGTACGATTTGTTATGATAATGAACTTCGCTATTTAACCAATCCTGTTTTTCTTCGTAAAACTGAAATCAGTACAATCTTATTAGCGATGAATATTTTCTCGGCATATAGCCAGTCACTACGAAGTCTCCAATTGTACATTTTCTACCTTATGAAACAACAGCTCGTAAAATTTTTGTATGCCCTCTTCAATATATTGTGTGATTAATGGACATAACTGATGTCAGAAGACTACATAAGAAGTAGTTTAACGAGGTCTGGTTTGAAGATGTAGTAGAGATGTTCTGTATCTTCAGGAAATAAAGCTATCTATAGATTATAATTCATAACATTTCACTTATTCATAAAGTGTGTGCTACAAAACCTATTAACAATTGAGTATATTCCTTTGGTAATTACAATGTAAATGGTAACCTGTCTGATACAAAGTTCGGTGTTATTGAACGCTTATTATTCAAAAACGTCCATCTAGCGGAATTGATTTACCAGATGTTTAGATAATATACTCAATGATCATGGAGTGTAAAAGTTTTGCATTCATCATGTATACATATCTATTTACATTTCTGAAGGTTTCTATACCTCTTCACTGGACAGTAAACGTTTACAGTTTCCTCATTCTGGCTCATGAAAGTTATACTGACTTACCGGTTTTCATGTGACAATTATATGGCAATGTACTTCTTTGAAAGCTTGATACCTTTGAATCACTTTTTCAAACATGATATCCCTACTTTTACCAAGCACGTCATGTGTTGTGACTCTGAAGTCATGTTGAACAGAAAACTAGCACGAGAGTTTTATAGTTGCAATAACAAAATGGTTTATGCCATATCTCTGCGATGACTGTTGAAAATCTATGTAAAAGTGTATGTGTTACTGGTAAGATCAGTACGATCAGGGGAGCCTGTAGCAGCTTCTCTATCAGAACAACCATATGAATTATTGAACTTTTTGAACAGATTAACTGTTTGAAATTTCCCTCATACTTATTAGTCATATAATTATCTTCGCGATGTATATTTGTGTAATCTTGGACACCTTGTATATGTGAGTATGTAAATCATGTTTATCCATCTCCTGTACTTTTTATACGACTTATAAAATCTAAACCATCACAAAAGTCTTCGATTTATTGTCTTACTGGGCTCGAATGTTTTACATATTAGGTTTGACTTTCACTTGCCTACCTACCGTTCAACACAAGCTTGCCTGAAATATGCAGACTCCAACTAAAGATCTTTTTGACCTTAACGTTAAAATATCATGATAGACTTCTTTTCAAGAACATGGAGGAATATAATTTCTGATTATAAACTCATAGTTGTTTGAGCTTTGAATTAGCGAATAAATGAAGCTGGGAAATTTCTCAGAACTACAGTATATTGCAAGACTTTAACGTTTGTCAAAAACAGTAAGTAGGACCTTCGGAATTAGGGCTTTAAACCGGAT